CAACAAACAAAAGTCCAGAACCAGATGGCTTCACAGGTAAATTCTACCAAACATTTGAACAAGAGTTAATACCCATTCTCCTCAAACTATTCCAAAAAGTAACAAAGGAAGGAAAATTTCTAAATTCATTCTATGAGGCCAGTATTACCTTGATACCAAAACCAGATAAAGACACCACCAAAAAAGAACTATAGGCCTGTTTCTCTGATGAACACAAATGCAAAGATCCTCAACAAAAACTAGCAAAAAACTGAACCCAATAATACATTAAAAAATCATTCACCACAATCAAGTGGGATTTATTTCTGGGTTGCAAGGTGGTTCAAAATTTGCAAAAAAAAAAAAAAAAAAAAAAAAAAAATTTGCAAACCAATCTACGTAACACATTGCATTAGTATAAGAAAGGAGGGATCCCTGGGTGGCGCAGCGGTTTAGCGCCTGCCTTTGGCCCAGGGCACGATCCTGGAGACCCGGGATCGAATCCCACGTCGGGCTCCCGGTGCATGGAGCCTGCTTCTCCCTCTGCCTGTGTCTCTGCCTCTCTCTCTCTATGTGTGACTATCATAAATAAATAAAAAAATTTAAAAAAAAAAGTATAAGAAAGGATAAGAACCACATGATCATTTTATTTTAATTTTTTAAAAGATTTTATTTAATTATTCATGAGCGACAGAGGGGAGAGAGAGAGAGAGAGAGAGAGAGAGAGAGAGAGGCAGAGACATAGGCAGAAGGAGAAGCAGGTTCCATGTAGGGAGCCCCATGTGGGACTCAATCCTGGAACTCCAGGATCATGCCCTGAGCTGAAGGCAGGCACTTAACAGCTGAGCCACCCAGGCATCCCCCACATGATCATTTTAATAGATACAGAAAATGCATTTGACAAATTGCAACACCCATTCATGATTAAAAACCCTCAACAAAGTAAGTTTACAGGGAACACACCCCAACATAATAAAGGCCATAGATGAAAAAACCCACAGCTAGCATCATCCGCAGTGAGGGAAACTGAGAGCTTTTTCCCTAAGGTCAGGACCAAGATAGGGATGTCCATTCTTACCAGTGTCATTCAACATAGCACTAGAATTCCTAGCCATAGAAATCAGACAAGAAAGGGCACCTGAGTGGCTCAATCGGTTAAGCATCTGCCTTTGGCTCAGATCACAATCCCAGGGTCCTGAGATGGAGGCCCACATCAGGCTTCCTGCTCAGCAGGGAATCTGGTTCTCCCTTCTGTGCATGCTCACCCACTCTCTCGCACTCTCTCTCTCTCTCAAATAAATAAATGAATAAATAAAATCTTTAAAAAAAAGTCAAGAAAAAGAAATGAAAGATATCTTAATTGGCAAGGAAGAGGTAAAACTTTCATTATTTGTAGATAACATGATACTATATATGGAAACCCTAAAAGATTCTACCAAAAACTGCTAGAACTGATAAATGAATTCAGGAAAGTTGAAAGATACAAAACCAACATTCAGAAATCTGTTGCATTTCTATAGATTAATAATGAAGCAGCAGAGAGAGACATTAAGGAATCATCCCATTTGTAATTACACCAAAAAAAAATAAGACCCCCTAGGAATAAACCCAACCAAAGAAGTAAAAGACCTGTATCTGAAAACTATAAAACACTGATGAAAAAAAACTGAAGATGACAAAGAAATGGAGACATTCCATGGTTATGGATCGGAAGAACAAATATTGTTAAAAATGTCTATATTGCCCAAAGCAATCTGTCGATCCCTATCAAAATACCAACAGCATTTTTTTATAAGAAAATACCAACCCTAAAATTTGTATGGAATCACAAAAGACCTTGAATAGCCAAAGTAACTTTGAAAAAGAATAGCTGGAAATAAGGCGACTCGGTGGCTCAGCAGTTTGGCGCCACCTTCAGCCCAGGGCGTGATCCTGGAGACCCGGGATAGAGTCCTGCGTCATGCTTCCTGCATGGAGCCTGCTTCTCCCTCTGCCTGTGTCTCTGCCTCTCTCTCTCTGTGTCTCTCATGAATAAATAAATAAAATCTTAAAAAAAAAAAGCTGGAAATATCACAATTCAAGACTCCCAAGTTATATTACAAAGCTGTAATAATCAAAACACTATAGTATTGGTACAAAAATAGACACGTAGATCAATGGGACAGAATAGAAAACCCAGAAATAAACCCACAACTATATGGTCAATTAATTTCCCACAAAGCAGGAAAGAATATCCAATGGGAAAAAGACAGTCTCTTTAACAAACGGCATTGGGAAAACTGGACAGCTACATGCAAAAGAATGAAACTGGACCACTTTCTTTCACCATACACAAAATTATACTCAAAAGGATTAAAGACCTAAATGTGAGACCTGAAGCCACAAAAGTCCTAGAGGAGAGCACAAGCAGTAATGTTTCTGACATTGGCTATAGCAACTTCTTTCTAGATAGGTCTCCTGAGGCATGGAAATATATGCAAAAATAAACTACTGGGATTACATCCAAATAAACAGCTTCTGCAGAGTGAAGGAAACGGTCAACAAAACTAAAATGCAGCCTATGGAATGGGAGAAGATATCTGCAAATCACATATCAGATAAAAGGTTAGTATTCAAAATATAAAGAACTTATAAAACTCAACACTCAAAAAACCAGATATTCCAATTTAAAAATGGCAGACCACATGAATAGACATTTTTCTAAAGAAGACACCTAGGTGGCTGACACATGAAAAAAAACACTCATCATCAGGGAAATACAAATCAAAACTACGAGATACCACCTCACACCTGTCAGAATAGCTAAAATCAAAACACAAGGAACAACAAGTGTGGCAAGGATATGGAGAAAGGGGTACTCCTCATGCACTGTTGGTGAGGATGCACATTCTTCCAAAAATTTTTTGGAGGTTCTTTAAAAAGTTAAAAATAGAACTACTCTATGATCCAGTAGTCACCCTACTAGGTATTTACCCACAGAATACAAAAATACTAATCCAAAGGCATACATACACCCCAATGTTTATAGCGGCATTATCTACAATAGCTACATTATGGAAACAGTTCAAGTGTCCATCAACTGATGAATGGATAAAGAAGATGTGAGATATAAATAAAATATTGTTTGGTCATAAAAAAGAAAGAAATCTTGCCATTTGCAATGACATGGATGGAGCTAGAAAGTATAATGCTAAGCAAAATAACTCAATCAGAGAAAGACAAATACCATATGATTTCACTCTTATGTGGAATTTAAAAAATAAATGAGTATTGGGGGAAAAAAGATAGGTGCAAATCTAGAAGCTCTCAACTACAGAGAGTAAACTCATGGCTACCAGAGGGAAGGTGGGCGGGGGGATGGAAATAGGCAATGGGGACTAAGGATTTCCCTTGTCGTGATGAGCACCGGGTGATGTATGGAAGTACAATCACTATACTGTGCACCTGAAACTAATATAGTACTGTGTGTTAACTAAGTGAAATTAAAGTTAAAATAAAAACTTTAAAAAAATGTTACCATTGCAGGAAACTGGTCAAAGCATTTAAAGAATTACTCTATATTTCTTACAACTATATGAGTCTCCAACAATCAATAACATATCAATTAAAAAAAGAATTTAAAAGAAACAAGAATGACGTATCATCCCAGCTTGTGTGTTTTCTTCTTAATAATTCATCCAAAAGCCAGTAAATGAGACTAAGTATGAAAAGCATCTGTATATGGGGGCAAAGAGAGGACCAGTGTGGGGTTAGTGCTGAAACAGAGTGAGAAGGGTGTTTCTGCATGGGGTAAAGGGAGATTAATCAACAGTAAGTAGATCTCCTGAAGATAGAAACCAGACTTCTCTCACTGCTGGAGATATGAGTTACAAACATGGAAGAGGAGAAACTAGGATCATCCTTATGATATTAGGTGGGAATTGCATACATGGGGTTTGAATTCATGATTTTCAGTAGAGAGATACATAAATAAATATTAATGAAACCATATGTCAGTGTGTATGTATAACAACATATACTTAGCTCTATCCACTGACTGTGCCAGGAAGTTGATGCCCAGTAGCAGTGGGCACTCCTGGTGCTCAGGTCTTGGCCTCTAAACACCATTCTATATTAAAGGTGACCAGGGGCTCCTTGGGGAAGTAGCTGATTACAGGACTGAGGCAGGGAAAGTATTAGATGAACCTGGAATATCTGGGATACCAGAAAGTAAGGGAAGTGCTCAAAAAATGATCAGGATCTGAAATGGAGGACCAAGAAACCACTGTGAAGGGACTCTCATTGGCCAACTCTGGGACAATTTGAGCACAAGAATAAATACTGATGGTAATGTATTAACCCACTGAATAAAACAGGAACTTAGGATAGTAACATGATGATGGAATGAATAAATAAGTGAACAGAAGAGAAAGCTCTTCTTTACACTAGAATACCAATAAATATAAAAGGAATGGTGAGATTAGTTACCAGCTGCCACCATTACAGCAAGAAACAAAGGATGCTAAAACAAGGAGATGAGAGTTCAACAGGAAACAGGGTATTTACCTAATGCCAAAGTATCTACCCACACAATACTCACCAGTTACAAAGGGAAAAGTAAAGAAGCCTAGTCAGCACCACCTAACCAGGAATCCAAGCCAGCATCACTAGGAATGGGACAAATCATGCCCAAGAGGCATTATCTAAAGGGAACAAAGCTAACTGGGGGCCTTCCTACAAAATAACTGCTTGTAATCTTCAAAACTGCCTAGTCCTAAAAACCAAGGACTGACTGAAGGGGCCATGTGATTCTGAAGGTGAGGGGATAGGTAGCAAAGCTCAATGGGGTGCGGGCTCAGACAGCACTTCTGCATCCACGTTAATGTCCTGACTCTGAGCCAGGGAAGGGGCTGATGGACTGGCAACTCACTCTCAGATCTTTCAGGAAAATGTTCTGTCCTTCCTTTTTGTAAGTTGACACTATTTCAAAATAATGAAAGAAGGAGGGCGGTGTTAGCATCATGCAGGTATCAATACCTGACCTGTTTGTTGAGTTCTTCTACTTCAGAGCAGGTCTTTTCCTTGTCTCTCCTTAAAACCTCGATTTCCTTCCTGTTGAAGAAGCAAAATTTACAGCATCACTGACCAGCCAGTTTCTTTTTCCCTATCATTGCCCTCATAACAGTAGTGGCTCGGGTTTGCAGCCACAGAACAGATTCTCACTCCTGCCCCTGGGAGCCCAGAGCCACCACTCTGTCACTGTTCTCCACCACTGCTGCTTCCTACCCTGTTGGGCCCCCGACCCTGAGAACCAGAGGAACACACAGTAAGAACCTCCATGGCATTTCTCAGCTACACACAGCAATCTCTCTCTAGCAAAACATGTGATGATTTACACCGAGCAGCATAAATAGGATACAGCAGCCTTGTCTGGGGCTACAGCTGGGGTCTCTTATAAAATGGGTCCTGCCAGCAAACTAAGGAAACAATGGTTTCTAGAGGGGAAAAAACCTTTTAGATTTCAGAACTGCTGTAATGTAATAGCAATCACTTGTTGAGCACATGCTCTGGATGTCATGTTTTAATCATCTTGAACTTCATAGTTGAAAAAAAAAAAAAGTCAACCAACTGTTCTTGGCTAAGACTAAGACTATGGTAGTGAGGGATCCCTCGGTGGCGCAGCGGTTTAGCGCCTGCCTTTGGCCCAGGGCGCGATCCTGGAGACCCGGGATCGAATCCCACGTCGGGCTCCCGGTGCATGGAGCCTGCTTCTCCCTCTGCCTACGTCTCTACCTCTCTCTCTCTCTCTCTCTCTGTGACTATCATAAATAAATAAAAATTAAAAAAAAAAAAGACTATGGTAGTGAAAGCAGAAAGCCCCTCCCCTTCCACACACACAGTCTCTCCTGCCTCATTGCTCAGGCTTCCACCCCTCTCCCCAACCTCTTCCCCTAACCCACTGAAATCCATGGGCCAGAAACCAAGTGGAACCAATGATCAGGATATAAAGAAGCAGATTCCAGAAAGGCTCCAGAAGCATCCCTTAGTGCTTCAGAAATACCACCCCATGGCATGATGTGAAGCAGCTCCGTAGAGGAAGAACCCTGGAAGGAAGGTGGCTGCCTACATCTGGAAGGGGGTCCAAGCTCTCCCCTGCCTGTCAGGGCTGGTGCGTCAGAGGTCAGCATGGCTCACCTCTTTGTGATTTTCTGGAACACAGAGTGGATTTGTCAACACTCCCTGCTTTCCAAGGCAATACCTTCGAAGCTCACTGTACAAAGATCAAAAGGTGCTATAGACTGGGAGTTCAGGTAGGAATCACTGAGCCGGGGTCCTTACCTCTGTGCATCCTTTGTCCTTTCTGCAGCTTCAAGCTCTTGCTGAATCTTTCGCAGCTCATTTTTCAGCCATGAGTTTTCCTCAGAAAGTCTAGCCAACTCGATTCTGCATGAAAAATTGAAAAAAAGAAGTAACAGTGGGGACTCCAGGAGCCACTGTACTTGAGGTGGGTCCCTCAATAGGAAAGAGCAAGCATGAACAGTGACTACTGCCACCATATGCAGTTCATGTGAGTCTGGGCTTGCAGGTAAAGTCACGGTGATCCTGCATTATCCTTGGGTAGCACAGGGCACACTGTTGCTTTTTCTTTATGCACTGCTAACATGCTATGGTTTGTACCTCCCAAGCCACAAGCTACAGAACATAAAGCTTTTTTAGCTTCTAAAACAGTCACACAATCAACAACTCATTCATGTAGTCAGCACCTCGGTTCTGTCTGCTATATGTTGACAGCTGACCTGTTACCACATCTTACAACCACTCACTCAAATGAGTGCTCGCTCGTGGTTGGTATCACACACAATTCTGGCTGTGGGTCCTCAGGTTACTGCAGAGGAGACTCATCCCCCCACCCCTTGCCCTTACCCCCCAGAGAACTCTAGCATAGAGCTAAGAACACAAGGCATCAGAAAACCAAAACACATTTTCCTCTTGAATGAGAGCCACCTGTGTCGTACACTCCAAGGTCAGCACTGAGGAGGAAAAAACTGGGGAGATGCCCCCATCAGTGTAGAGAGAGACACCTGATGGGTGGTGGGTCCCTCAATAGGAAAGAGCAAGCATGAACAGTGACTACAGGTACCAAGTTGCCTCGAGCCACCTTTGCTTTCCAATAACTTAGCAAGCTCTCCACTTATCTAACACCACTGACATATAACTGATGAGCAATTTGCCAGTAAAGATCACCAATGAGGCAGCCTAAAACCCATGCTTGCTGAGAAATTTATTTTTTAGATTTTATTTATTTGAGAGTGAGCGAGCACGAGTGAGGGAGGGGCAGAGGGAGAGGGAGAAACACACTCTCCACTTAGCGTGGAGCCTGACGCAGGGCTCAATCCCAGGACCCTGAATTCATGACCTGAGCTGAAGGCAGACGCTTAACCAAGCCATCCAGGTACCCCCAGAGAAATTTATTATTAATAGATGCTAGTCTGACTGACACTTATTCCCCCTCAAAGCACCCTATCTAGCATTAGCTTCTAATTTTTTCAATCTAAAAATACTCAAAGCCACACGATCTTGTTATGTCTATTTAATGTAATATGCTTGAAATACCAAGCATAAGTGTGTTCTTCATAGGAGCATAAATATAACTTCATTTTATCCCACAAGGAACCAAAGAGAATAATAAAGAGAAGTCATTGGAATTTTTAAAGCAGCAAAGATTTCGAGCAGAGGAGTGAAACAAATGAGGTGTTTGGAAACTGCCACTCTGGCTCCAGTAGAAAACAAACTGATTCGGTGCAGTTGTGTGTACTGGGGCAGAGGGAGGGGGTTCCCACTTCCAGCTTCCTGGACCTTAGATAAGCTGACAGGGGTCCCACCCCACCAAGCAACCAGAGCTGTATGAGGCTCATTATACAATGGGAGATTGTCCTCATAGAAGGTAATGGAAACCTCTAAGGGCCCCCTAACAAAACAAAAAACTAGAAGCTGAAGCCCCAGCTGTGAGCATTAAGCCACACAAAGATAGGGTTACCCGGAGGCCAATGCCTATGTCAGCACTGCCATCAGCAGCGTGGGAAAACCACACTGTGGACACCTATATAAAGCCAGTGCCCTAGAGAGAGGTTAAAGTGGTCTCAGATTAGTAGGCTCCCAATTCTCGGCAAAAGCAGTATCCACCCTTTCTTCAGAAAGCATCCTCTACTACAACTCCTGAGATTCCCAGAGATTAACATCATGTAAACATGAGCTCACAACCAAAGATCACCACAACATACATGGAAAAAAACCACCTCTGAGGGGCAGCAGAAGCAAAACAGCAGAATTAGATCCCACGGGAACCTCAGATATTCGAATTATCAGACACAAACTAAGGATAAAATTGTAAAATGTTTATATAAATAAAGATGAAAATAAAAAAATAAACAAGCAACAAGAAACTATCAAAAATAATCAGACCAAACGAGAAAACAGCATATTTGGAAATGAAAAGGGAAAAAAAATAAAAAGGCAATGTCAAAATAAAACCTCACTGAATGGGTTAAATGACAAATTGAGACAGAGCTGAAGGAAGAATTACTGACCTGGAACACAGAGGTAGGAAAAAAAGTACCCAGAATGTGACAAGAGAGAAAACAAGATAAAAGATATGGAAGAGAAGAAATGGAGGAAGAGTGAAAAGATCAAATATCATATCTAATTATAGAGTGAGAGGAGAAGCAACATCTTAAAAATAATGGCTGAGAATTTTTCATAAGACAAATTCAATGGGTACAATCTTTTATTTTATTTTTTTTAATTCTTGAGGACACATACAGAGAGAGGCAGAGACACAGGCAGAGGGAGAAGCAGGCTCCATGCAGGGAGCCCAACACGAGACTCGATCCTGGGTCTCCAGGATCACACCCTGGGCCAAAGGCAGTGCCAAACCGCTGAGCCACTGGGGCTGCCCTTTCTTTTTCTTTAAAGATTTTATTTATTTGTTCATGAGACACACACAGAGAGAGGCAGAGACACAGGGAGAAGGAGAAGCAGGCTCCCTGCAGGGAGAGGAGCCTGATGCAGGACTTGATCCCAGGATCCAGGTGCCCTGGGTACGATGTTTTTCTAAGTAGGATGAGTAGAAAGAAAACCACACCTATGCCCTATGACCTGACAATTCCATTCTTAGGTACAGTCCAATGTAAATGCTCCAAAAGACATGGATAAGAACTTTCTGAGCAGTATGATTTGTGATGACCCAAACTAAACACTACTCAAAGGCCCATCCACAAGTGAATGAGGAAACTGTGGCATATTCACACAACAGAACCATTCACTCCACAGCAATGAACCATGAGTGATCCTGAATCACCCAGGTGGGCCCAATGTAACCACAGGGTCCTTAAGTGGGGAAGAGGGAGGGAGGGAGGAGAGTGGGTGTCAGGGGGACCTGATCAGTCCTCACTGGCTTTAAAGATGGAAGGGGGCCAGAAACAAGGAATGCAAGCAGCCCACAGAGGCTGGAGAAGGCAACAATAGCAATTCTCCTCTAGAGCCACCAAAAAGGAAGGCAACCCTGCCAACATTTTAATTTTAGTCCAGTCATAATCATTCCAGACTTCTAAAGTCCAAAACTGTAAAATCATAATTGTGCTGTTTTAAGTACCAGTGGTAGTTACAGCAGCAATAGGAAACTAATACACATACAGAGCAACAACTAGACAAAGTAGACTACCCAATGTCAATAGTGGAATCTTTTTTTTTTTTTTAATTTATTTGAGAGACAGGGAGAGTATGTGTGGCAAGTGGAAGGAGAGATAGAGGGAGAGAGAACCCTCAGGCTCCCTGAGGAGCATGGAGTCAGACACGGTGCTTGATCCCAGGACCCTGAGATCATGATCTGAGCCAAAACCAAGAGTCAGACACTTACGGACACTGACTCAGACACTGACTGAGCTACCCAGGCGCCCCAACAGTGGACTCTTGAAGATACTGAATATGTCCAAAGAGCAGAGAACCATTCTTTAATCTAGATTTCTGTTCCACTGTATCTTTTAAAACTGAAGGAAATTTTGAGACATTTTCAGATAAAAACTGAGGGAGTTTATTCCAAAGAGAGTTTCACTGAAGGAACTTCTAAAGACTACACGTCAGAAAGAAAGAAAATGGTCCTATAAAGAAGGCATGAGCTACAAGAAATAATCTAATCAAGGGGAAAATAAGACATCCACATTGAGGGTTATTCTGCGAAGCACCTGGTCTGGATTCTTCAAAAACAACGTCCAAATTCCTAGAAACACACAACCTAACAAAACTGGCTCATGAAGAAATAAAAAATCTGATCATACCTGTGACTAGTATGGAGATTGAATGAGTTAACTCCTAACAGAAAAGCCCAGGAGCAGATGGCTTTCCTGGTGAATGCTACTAAACATTTTATTTTTATTTTTTTTAAAGATTGATTGATTTGAGAAAGAAAAAGAGAGAAAGCATATTCATGTGAGCCTGGTGGTGGAGGGGGTGTTGTGCAGAAGGAGAGGGAGAAACAGTCTTAAGCAGACTCCCCACTGAGCATGGAGCCCAACATGGGGCTTGATCCCACAACCCTGAGATCATGACCTGAGCTGAAACCTAGAGAGTTGGATGCTCAATCAACTGTGCCACCCAAGTGAATCGCCCAGGTGGGCCCTGAATCACCCAGGTGGGCCCTACCAAACATTTAAAGAGCAAATACCAACCCTTCTCAAACTCTTACAGGAAAACTAGACAATATCCTTTACCAATATTGATGCTAAAATTCTTACAAAATACTAGCAATAATTATTATTCAGGAGGTACATAATTTCTGCTTGCAGTGATGAGAAAGTTTTAGAAGTAGAAAGTGGTGATGGTTACACGTTGTGCATGTTAAATGCCACTAAATTATGGGGTTAAAATGGTCAGTTTTACATTTTGTATACTTTGCCATGATAACAAGAAAAGTCTATCTATTGACAGAGAAACTAATTTAAAAAGACTGATAACAGGGGCTCCTGGGTGGCTCAGCCAGTTAATCATCTGCCTTTGGCTCAGGTCATGATCTCAGGGCCCTGGAATGGAGCCCCGAGTCCTGCTCCCTGCTCTCTGGGGAATCTGCTTCTCCCTCTCCTTCTGCCCCTCCCACTTGTGCACCCCTTGCTCTGCTCTCCCTCTCAAATAAATAAAATCTTTTTTAAAAAATAAAAAATAAACAGACTGATACACTCAAAGGATATTAAATGCATAACATGATCCTTGATTAGATTCAGGGTGCATGAGTAATCTATAAAGAACATACTGAAACAACTGGGAAAATCTGGATGTGGAATGCAAATTAAAATAGCAGTGCATTCAAGATAAATTTCCTATGTGTGATAACAATACTGTGAACATGCAGGAGAACGTCCTTGTTCTTAGAAAATAACATGCTGCGATATTTAGCAGTAAAGTGTCATAATGCCTGCAATTATCTCCAAGGATTCAGAAAAAAATTTAAAAGTGTGTGGATTTTTGTATAGAGCAAAATAGCAATAGGAGAGGTAACCTAACCGTGGATGAATGTGGCCATGTGGGTGTTCAGATCACTTGTGTTCTCTAAGCTAGTGACAGAGACTCTTTCACAATCCAAATCTGGTCGTGTCACTCTACACTTTGCTTATTCCTTGATAAAGACACAAATCTTCACCATGGCCTTTAGGATCCTGCAAGTCTGAGCTACAGCTAGTGTGGATCTGGAGGGCAGCTATGCTCACCACCATACTACCAATGCCGGCTCTGGTCCCATGTACCACAAGGCCAATACACAAGGAATGGTGACCAAGGGTTCCCTGGCTGGTGCTGAGGACAGGCCTGCCCTTATAGAGCAGGAGCTGGGGGCCCAACTTGGGGTGAGGGATGTCATTGGGCTCAGGAGACAGCTGCATATTGCTGAGCCCAGAAGACTCCTTCTGGTGGCAGATCTTGTGTGAACCGGCCTCTCAAAGGATCTGGAGGCGTTCCTCTCTCTTTGCACAATTCTTCCCCTGGAGACATAGCTCCTCTGGGGCTCCCCTCCTCTGGGGGCTCCTTCCTGAACTATTTACCTACCACACTCTCCACAGGCTCCTCAAGTGTAACTCAATCCTGTCTTCCCCCTCTCTTGGTCAGTGGCATTTCTGGGGAGTCCTGATTGTACCTCCCCCACAGGCTGAGAGCTGTAGGCATCTGTCCTATACCTGCTGTAACCCCTAGCTGTGTTGCCACAGAGAAGACGTCCCCACAGAGACTGTCAGGTGAGTGAAGACCCCGCTGAGACCGCAGCGTCAACAGGCAGGGAGTCAGACTCAGGGTGCTGGGCTACTTCTGTGCCTAAGGCCCCTCTGTGTCTGGGGCCTGCCACAGACTCATGCACAGAGCAGGTCCCCAACGGGGTATCCAGAGACTGGCTAGGGAGCAGCCAGGATAGTGAGTGCAGGTTCTATGTCCATTTCGTGCTCCATATCCCTCTGGGCCCACTGTACCCTCTGGACGTCATGGATGTCAGGCCACCACAAACAACGTGTTGTGTGGTTCAGGGACACCACAGAGGAGGCAGGAACTTCAAGTGATGTCTATATGGTGATAAACAGCCCCTTCAGGACAGGCAGCTCTGGGGGGTGAGGAGTTCTGGGGCTGAGGGGCTTCTAGCTATGTCGATGTTTTTTCTTAAGCTGGGTGATGCCTTGACATGTATTCCTTTTGATTTAACATCAATCCCATACAACCTTTTTTCTCAGTGAAGCTACCTGCCCATGATCACCCAGATAGCAGGAGCTGGTGCCTGAGCTGGAACGTAGGTCTTACCACACACCTGTGATCACTCTCCAGGACAGAACTGTGTCTGCTGGGAGCCAGCATCACCTACTTGACAAGTGACACAATACCTCACAGAACTTCCATCTCCACAGGAAGTGGGCCCCACACAGATGTGCTGGGTAGGGGTTCGTGGGACCAAACGACCCCGCAGAGAGCACTGACAATATCCCCTGGTGTGTAAGTACCTATAACATCTCCCAGGGCAGCCTTCCATTTCCTAAGGAGGCAGAAACACACCTAAGGCCATATGCTACAGCATCTGGAAAGGCCTAGTTTCTAGAATTCCGGGCTTCTGAGAAAGAACATGTGCCAGCCAAAGTCCCCAGGGGATCCTGGGAAGGAAAAGGGCCTGGATACACTCTCTGTACTTGGTCTACAGAATAACAACTCCAGGCCACCTCCTTACCCTGCGGCTTCCCCTGAAGACATCAACTGCAGGGGACCTGGAACCACACTAGGCACTCACACCCCACCCCGAGCCCCCAGGAGGTGCCTGGGCTGGGTAGCCTCCTCTGTTACTCGGCTCAGAAAAGGGCAGTACCTACCTAGCCCATGTGCTGGGGGAGGGGGGGGCGGGGCAAAGTAGTGGGTCCTGCTGCAAATCAGCAGGAAGAAGTCCCAGGAGACCCAGAACTGAAGGGGGCTCCAAGCACAGTCTGTGTCCTTGTGAGACCAGCACAAACTTCCTAAGGGTGAGACCCAGGGACACCAGGGCCAGCTGAGCTGCCCAGCATGGCCCAGCTCTGCCCTCACCCACTCACTGGGCACCTGGTGACCTGTGGGATGTCCGGGTTCAGGGCCAGGCTGATGAGCCTGGCACAGGCATGAGGGTTACATAACCCTCATCAGCAGCTGTGATGAGGCCCATGCAGGAGAGCCAGAGGTGAGAGATTAGAGGGTGCAGCCTGGCATTCTAAGAATGGGTAGAAACCAAACCTGTTGTTCTCTCTTGACTCTGCTTCTTTCTCAAGAGTCCAAACGACATCTTCCAGCTGCAGAAGTTTGGTTTTCATGTGGTCCTTCTCTCTCTGCAGGCCCGAGTCGGCCTCTTCCTCCTGCAGGGCCTCACGCTGGTCCTGCCCGGCTGCCTGGGGGCCAGTGAGGTGGGTTTGGGAAATCAAGGTGCCCACCATGGCCTTTCCCCTGTGGTCCTGCAGCCCCTGCTCCAGGACTCTCTCCCCACATTGGGCCTCCCCTTGGCTCCCTGCAGGGGCCAGCCCCCTACTCAGCTTCCCAGCTCTCTCAAAAATGGCTGGCCACCTCTTGGTCTCTCCTCTGCCCGATGTCGGGGACTGAGCTGGTGAGGTATCTCCCTCTGTCCCCTGGAGCAGCTCCCAGGTTTCAATCTGGCTCCGACCAGCTGAGCCACCCACAGGAGGCACTAGCTCCTCCAGGACTACTCTCCTGTCCAGCTCACATGGGTGTACCTCTGCCCACCTGTCTGGGGGAGCAGAAGCCACCTCCTCAGCATTGAGCACACCATGACCATCCTCTCTGAGGCCAAGGCTCTCCAAGGGCCCTCTGTGGGCCTGGGCAGGGGTTAGGGCTGGGCTCTGCCTGCCATCCACATGGCCCTGGTGCTGGTCTGGTCCATTCCTGCACCTGGCTTGCCCGCGGCCTTGCCCATCACCAGTCCCAGCCAGGCTGGTAGCTGCTCCCTCCTGCCTGCACAGAGGGGCATGGGGCCCACTGTACCCTCCTACTCACAACCTGCCACCGCTGGCTGGTCCCTCAGGCAGGCCTGAAGCATGTCTGTTTCCCATACAAGGCTTCCCATTTGCTTCCTACAGGCGAGCTCCCGCTTTTCCTTCTCTATGGTGGAGGACTTGCAAAGCCGCACCTGTTCCTTGCCCACCGGCTCCTGCAGCTTCAGTTTCTGACTTCCATAGCACAGGAGGGTCTCCTTCCCCCTGCCCTCTCTCCGCTCCTTCTCCAGATCATGCTGTTCTGTCACTTCGTGGACTTGCAGCAGGGATGTCTGCAGCACCTCTTCCTTCTCCTGCTGAGGCTGTAGCACCAAGTCCTTATAGCGGGCAGCCTGCTGGGCTTCCGTCTGCAAGAGCTCGTAGTTCAGCACAGCTTTGGCCTCTTTCCTACAGAAACAGAGCACGTCACAGGCGCTGTGGGCGCAGCTCCAGGCCTCGTCCCCCCCCCCCCCCCCCCGCATTGGGAAGGCCTCCTCATGGGCTCCTCTTGTCCTGACTGCAGACCTCCTCTCTACCTGGCCTGCTCTGTCCCCTTACCTCCCATGTGCCCCAGGGCCCCATCCGTGCCCTGGCACCCTCTGTAGAGGTTCTACTGGAGGATCTGCCCTCAGTGGGATTGGCTTCTACATACAGAAGTTGACGTGAAACCATTCACACAACTGCCAGGTCTAAGTTGATCATAACTAAGTAGGATAACAATGCAGGACTGAGTCACACAGGCACACATCCAGGGCTCAGTAAGCACGTGTGGCCAGTGGCTGCCGACAGGACAGAGAGGACACAGGATATGTCTCCATCACAAGAAGTACTAAGGACAGTGCTGGTCTAAAACTGTAGTGAGGTGCGTGAATCTCACTCATTGTTAAAGCCGCCCTTGAAAGTTTGGTAAGTTGCTGGGCCCTGGGCCTTCACAGCCCTGGGAGAAATGAGTCCCAGCCGAGCTGAGGGCACTAAAGTTGTGTTCTCTGCTCCTGGTTGGCACTGGCCTGAGGACAGGACACACGACCAGATGTGGCTCTAGCTCCAGCTGAGAAGGGACTGTGAACAGCGAGCAGATCCTCCACATGGATGGACGCTGATGCAAGGGTCTACCCCACATTGGCCCATCTGCTGCCAGGGGTGTCTACAGGGACTTGGGTCGAGCCCCTTATCACACAGCTCTGGGGTTTAGGAGAAAATAGCTTAGAGCTCAGAGGAAGCACATGACTTAACAATGACCATTTTTCTAGGTCTAGGAGAGTGATTATTCCCGTCAGCCCCCCGGCACCCGGGGCCCCTCCACTGGTGTCATCTGGGGCATCGGGAGGTGGGAGCACCCACAGACTCAAAGGGCAGTCCAGTTCTTTCGCAGCATATCCTATATACCATAGGGCTACCCCCAATAATCGAGCCAAAGGGAAGCACGCACCCCACCTAGGCTGGAGGGCATGGCCTCCACATAAAGGATGCCCACATCCTACAATCAGGGAGTGACTGAGGCCACACACACTTGGCTCCAACACTGAACCCCAGCAAGCCCTACACAACCCCTCTGCAAGGAGCACAGGTGCAGAGGGCCCCTGCACTGAGTCATCCACTCAGCCCGGGGCCAACACGTGCTGGCTGTGGACACCCCCTCCTGGGCTGGCTGGTCTGAGGCTCCCCACAGGACATGAAGGGGGGGCCAACTGACCGGCACCATGGTCACTCACTCCACTAAGTCGGACCCACTCGACAAGGAATGGACACAGGTATTTCTCGTGTAAGTAAGACGCCATTGAACACAGAATGCCATATTCCAGTTTTCCAAATAAACCTTTCCTCTCCTTTGCACATACATTTTGTTCTTTTCAAGAACCTCAATGAACCAAATTTGTCTTTCCCATCCCCATTTAAGGGCTTTAGACCTTTCATCCATCCATCTGCTCATGTGCCACAATACCACATCCTAAAAAATCAGAATAAGATATTAAATGAATACTGCCCTTGGCCATCAGGCAAGCGTGACGCAGAATTCAACATTTTAACTCCTAGGGTCTAGTTAACACATTTTTAATACAAAGGAACAATCCTTACACAATGACCTGCTCTCTTGTTTTGGGGGGAGGATTTTATTATTTAGAGAGAGAGTGAGAGAGCATGCATGGAGGGGCGGGGCAGAGGGAAAGGAAGACAGAGAAGCTGAAGCAGACTCTGCACTGAGCATGGAGCCCAAAACAGGGCTCAATCCCATGACCCCAAGACCATACCTGAGCAGAAACCAAGATCCAACACTTAACCAACTGAGCCACCCAGGCCCGACCTGTTCTTTCGATGCTCACCCACCTGCCCCAAGAACAAGTACCCCATGAGCAGGCACTGTGATTCTGAGCAGTTTGCCTGACACAATCTCAAATCTGAGTTCTTGGCAAGAAACCTCAGACATGAGATCCTGACCTGTCTCGCTGCAGCTCATTCCGGTGCCTCTGGCGTGGCTCCTGCTCCGGTGGGCCCTGCTCCGGGGCCAGCCGCCCAACCAGGCCAGACAGCTTGTGCACGCAACATTGCCCCAACCCTGCCTGCTCTGGTAGTGGGCCATGGGTGACCTGCTGAAGCTGGTCCTGCAGGCCTCGGATGAACTCCTGAGACTTCCCAAGCAGCACCTCCAGGTCGGCTCTCCGGCACTCCAGCACGCGGACCTCAAGCCTGAAAGCCTGTTGCAACTCCTCCCTCTCCTTTGCGAAGTCCCTTCTCATCGCCTCCATTTCCTTTTCATAGGAATTTACCTGAAAAAAGAAATGTGAGCACTGTCAATCAGAAGGTCCTGAAAATGACCTTACTGGACAACAGAACACAGAAATACCAGACTTCCAGGCACAACACCCAAAGAACGACAGCCCAGACCCAATGAAGTACATAGCCTGTGAAAGGAAAGAGCCACGCTAAGGACAGTGGAGCTTCTCTGGGTCCCCAGTGTGGCCTCAGGTTTCCATAACCTTCACATGGGTCCCAGGAGGCAGAACCAGCAGGTGGGGAATGGAGGCTGGGGTCACACTGGGCCCACACTGGGCCAGGTGCCTGGCCAGGCCACCCGCAGGGCAGAGGGTGGGGCAACTGAGAAAACTGGGGAGGGGAGTCTTTGTGAGACCAGAGGCTGGCTCTGGACATCCTCGAGCATCCCCCCCACACTGCTCCGGGTACTGCTACTGCAGGAGTTTCCAGCTAACGCATCCCAGGAACTCAAGGCACAAGTACATGACAGGCAATCCCCATCTTGCTGCTACTCTTACACCTGACAACAGATCCTGAAAACAAGTTGTGGCCATGTTGCTTAACAAAACCCCATCGGGATCTCCTAATGGAGCAGAAGACAAGTTCATCTAAGAAGACAGACTCAGCCAGGGCCTGGCCACGAGGCCATGGAGTACCTGACAAAGGGCAATCCTGGGGCCGTATCAGCTTAGAATGCAGCCAGGAGTTGATGATTCCCTGATGGCAGAGTGGGCAGGGAGTGCTGGCCTCAATGTGACCCTGGTGACACGTGAGGACACACAACCCCATTCCTTCCCTTTATGGGTCATTCCTTATCTCCTGCCTCCTTCCAAAGAGGGTGTGAGGCAGAATGCTCATTTTATTTACATTTCTCCACAATCTTCTATCTCCCTGAGCGGGCTTCTTAAAAGGGGCACAGGATCTAGTGCACACGTGTGCATGTGGAAACAGGCACAGTGGAACGAAGCTTTCAAGCGTGCAGCAGGGAGCTCCTCTGTGACCCGGTGGCCGCCCTCACTCCCCCTGACCTTGGTCTCCAGCTGGATCTGGAGGGCTTGGTAGTGCTCCTTCACTTGCTCCATCATGATCTCCGTTTCTAAATTTACTGGAATGGAATCACCAGTGAATGAGATGCCTGCAAACAAGGAGAGGTTCCTGTTGCCGTCCAACCCAAGATGCCATGGGCCCGTTCCCAGCCCTCCCGTCTGACATTGGCCGGCACCGAGCATTTAATCTTCCTCCACCTCACCCCTGGCCACCCACAGCCCTCCACAGCCCTTTGTGGAAGAGGAATGCATTGCTGGCAGAGAGCCGGCCCTTGGGGGTTCCCATGCACAATCTATTACGCTGAGCCCTCAAGGTTGGAGCTCTTTGGGAATCAGCACTCCCAGTCTTCGCCAGAACACAAATTACTCAGATACACCCCAGAGGCTCCCTGCAAGATCTGTCAGGCCCCCAGATTCCCTAAAAGAGGCCACATGTGGTATGCCCATGACCCCTGAATTCTGTTCCCCGACAACACCAGACACATAAACTGTGAAGACAGGGGAACAAGTGTGGTGCTTTATGACGAGGCACTACTGGCCTTAGTTCTTCAACCTTTTTATTTTAGCTCTGCCCTTTTCCTGGAGGCTCTATGTTGCCTACTATTACATGATAATAACATGGGGTCTCAACAAATGAGTTAGGCATAAATAGAGAGCAAAAGTTCTGACAGCTCATGAGACAGAGGATGTGGGTGACCCCACTGACAATGTCAGGTGTCCTTGCAGCTCATTTTGCGAGGAGCTCGTGGAGACGCAAGTGCCTAAGCACCCCCAGAGCACCAGGTGTTCCCAGCAGCATGCCCAACGGTCGGCTTAGGACGCGAATTCAGACATAGCTCAGGTATTCTCTATGTGGGTCTGGGGCTGGGCAAGTGAAGGGAGATGACACAGCCCTTAACAATTTGCTATGAAAAAAATCAACAGAGTGAGGGCCGTGTGGCCGAAAGAAGTCAGGATAAGCATCTCAGGAAAGAAAGCAGCCCCTGCTGCCCTGTAACCCGGAGCTGCGGCCTGGTTCTGGCCGAGCAGACCCAGGTGAACGGGCGCCGGTGGGAGAGCTCCAGCTGGAGCACGGACGGCACGGCCATCATCATCCACACAGCCCTCCTACCAAAACTCCCAGGCAGCAGACAGACCCCTCCTTCTGTGAAGTGACTGGTGGAATCTCTGTGGTCAGATGGGGGAATGGTGGGAGACAAAGGTGAAGGGCAAGGGCCCTGGAAAGGGAGATCAGTGATGACATAAAGCCCGGGGCTCCTTCTGGTGCCACAGCCCAAGGTCTTCTGGACAACAGCCACCCCAGGTACAGGTCCCTAGCTCTGCTACTCCCTGGGCTAGGAGTTGGTAGTCTTGACAAGAGTCCCACCTCCTCCAGGGACAAAGGGAGGTCAACAATCATCTCCCTTTGGCCAGGCTATCCACCTCATCTGGGAATGTGATACCATCCAGTGTGCTGGCCCTACGCCAACACGTCCAACTGAGGACAGTCAGGACTGCCGCTGTCAGAAGTCATCAGACTCCACTAAAGATGCTGTGGGGGTCCCCTTAAGGGACTGAGCAAGTTGGACTCAGCACACAGAAAGCCTCATTTGGTTCCCATGTTGGCTCTCTTAGGTAAAAACTTTATTCTTTTTTTTTTAAAAAAAAAAACTTTATTTTATTTTATCTGAGAGAGAGAGAGAGAGAGAGAGAGAGAGGGATGCCTGGGTGGGTCAGCGGTTGAGCGTCTGTCTTCGGCTCAGGGTGTGATCCCGGGGTCCTGGGATGGAGTTCTGTATCGGGTTCCCTGCAGGGAGCCTGCTTCTTCCTCTGCTTGTGTCTCTGCCTCTCTCTCTCTCTCTCTGTCTCTCATGAATAAATAAAATCTTTTAAAAAAAAAACGAGAGAGAGAGAGAGAATGGGGGAGGGGCAGTGGGAGAGGGAGAGAAACTCAAGCAGACTCTGCGCTAAGGGCAGAGCCCAACGCAGGGCTCAATCTCATGATCCTGAGATCATGGCCTGAACCAAAATCAAAAGTCTTAATCAAGTGAGCCACCAAGGTGTCCCCCCTCTTTTTTCCTGTTTTATTAAGTAAACAGGTTTAAGGACAGTATGGGAGCTCTAAGAGGCTGACTCTGCCATGATAATATGGTCAGTAGAGGTGGTTAGGTGGCTGGGGGCCAGACAGTCCCAGTGGCCCCCTCACAGGCCCCCCACCAGCAGTGAGCATGGAGCTGCCTGGGGAGCCACATGCAGCATGTGAACTTGCATAGAGCTCACCCTACACAGCTGCCAGGAGAGGTGGCTTTCAGCCAAACCCACCCTGTCCTCCAGAAGGACCATGGAAACCTGAAAGACAGCTGTGTCATCTGGACCCCACCCCCCAATTCTGGTCTCTAGAAGCAGCCAATAACACTTACACAGAGGGTATTGGGGCCTCCTGGAGTTTGTCCTGAACCTCAGAGGCTGAAGAACTGAGGAGCGTGAAGCCCCGGTCTTTCTCAAGTAATTCCTTCAGCGTCAGTTCTGTGCACAGTGAGGTGGAGTGGGCCCTCCAGGGTGCCCCAGCCCCACCCCCACCCCGACCCCTTTCACACTATGCAGGCAGTAAACACCAGCTTTGTCTGCAAGAGCCCACATGAGGCCTCTGTGAGCATCAGGAGTCCCTGACACATTTTAGACATTTGCCCTCCCTCTCTGACCTGTCACAGACCCAAGACCAGACCTGATGCTCTGAGCGAGGCTGGGAGACCACTGCCCTGCTCACTCACAGCCCTCCCTTCCCTAGATGACCACATCTGACCCATGCTGAACGCTCACCCTAGGGAATCTCTCTGGATCCTCCCCTGTAACCCAAGACCCACTAGGACATGCCTGTCCTGAGGTCACTACAAGGTCATCGTAACCTTCCCATTCTACCCAAATGGCAGAACCTCACCCTTTTGTACCTCCCTTGGGGCTCTGGGTATTATCCCTGACTTGGGGTTACAGGCCATTCTCCCATGGGTGGTGGGCTGAAGGGCGTGTGATCCTTTGGAAGCCTGACATGCCATGCCTAGGCCAGGGGGGAAGCTTGTGCTGTGAGGGCAGACAGACCCCCATGGCCACCGGCCTCTGGTCCCCCAGAGTGGGAGCACACAACCTGTCACCTCCCAGGACTGGGCTCCTACCTGCTGGGCCGTGTCCAGGGAGCAGCTGTTCCTCTGGCTGTGCATGGGGCCGGCCATGCCAACTTGAGGGCAGCTGTGCCCGCAGGCCTTCCAGTGCAGCCAGCAGCTCGTCGTTGCGGTCCTGCAGGTCCTGAAGAGTAGAGCCAGACACCCCTGCAGCCACTGTGGCCGCCTGAGGAGCCATGGGAGCAGAGCAGTGGAGCCAACCCCCCAAGTGGGCAGCCAGGTGTCAGGTCCTGCCTTCCAGCATACCACACTCAACCTGCATTCTAGTTTCCTAATGACCCATGAGCCAAACCAAAGCAAGGGATACCTCTTGACTTGCTAATGCACTGTGCCACTTTCAACCACCCGATATACGGAAGGGGCGCTCGCTCTCTCTCTCTCTCTCTCTCTCTCTCTCCCCTCTCTCTCACACACACAATGCACACACAGAGTGGAGTAGAAACTGAGAAGAAACGTAGAGAATACAGAGAACCATCAAAATCTGAAACCCCAGGTGCTCCGTGTAAGAGCACAGTGGTGCTGTGCCGTGGGTGTGATGCAACAAGTCTCGGGATGTGTCCCGGGATTCTGTCCTCTGCACAGGGTTTTTTCTACAGCTACTAAGCCCAGAGGGTACCAGGTGTTTTGGACCAAGGGCCACAGAGCAAAGATGAGGACATCAAACAGAAAGGACGGTGTCTGGGTGAGCACGCACACAGGGGAAGTGGGGGGATTTGGGGAAGGGTCTCATCTGTAACCAGTGTACTTCTGTTCACACTTGAATGAAACATCCCCACAAGCACCCCCATCACCTGATTTTTAAAGGGCTAGGAAGTGTAGAGTTTATAGCCATTTTCTCTGATGGTTTCACAGCTGTGTGTGTTGCCACGTCCACTCACAACTTTGCGTCTATGTCCTCCTTCCCTGGAGCCCCACCAGGCCTATGGCTGCCCCGGCCTGCAGGATGGTACAAGTAACTCCACACCTTCCAACAGTGCATCCCTCAGCCAGTTTCTCCTTGTGGGACATTCCCTATCGGGGAAGCCCAAGCTAGCCAAGGCCACAGGGAGAGGACTCAGGGCGCAGCCCCTGGTACATCAAGGCTCCACAACCCTCTCTGGTGTTTGAATCCTATTTGAGTGTCCCCTCTGGGCAGCTCCCATTGAATAGACCTAATCTTCCCAAAACTGTTCCTGAAGGCCAGTGCCTGGCCTATGATGGCATCTCCCCTGGAGAAGGACCCTCTCGTTGGCAGCCTCACTGCACAGATCTTATAAGCAGCATAGATTCACACAGGATCACTGCACCTCACTCAAAAACTCCTAGACAAATGTATAAGTTTGCCCATGGAGGGAGCAGTTCTATCTAGGGAGAATGGGCTGGGCCAGAATGTTAGAGCTTCAGGACAAGTCTGCAAAGCAGAGCATGCTCCTCCTAGTTCCTACACAGCCTGTGGTCACTGCTGCTCTAACCCTGGGGTGTCCAAGGAGACAGCACTTACCACACAGGCCACCGAGCATCTCAGGTGCAGTTAGTGTGAACTGAGGTGTGCGGCAGCCTAAAGTCTACACTGAATCTAAAAGACTAGATTCCAAAAAAAGGCTATAAAATATCTCATTAAAAATTTGCTTATATTGATTATATATTGAAATGGTAACAACGTGGATATATTGAATTAAAATGTTATTAAAATTAATGTCACCTATTTTCTAAAAGATTTTATTTATTTATTTATTTATTTATTTATTTATTTATTTATTTATTTATTTATGAGAGACACAGAGAGAGAGGCAGACACATAGGCAGAGGGAGAACCAGGCTCCCTGCAGGGAGCCTGATGGGGGACTAGATCCCAGGACCCCGAGATCACACCCTGAGCAGAAGTCAGACACGCTCAACTGCTGAGCCACCCAGGTGCCCAATCACCTATTTCTTTTTACATTTTCTTTAAAAAAGACTTTATTTATTCATGAGAGACAAAGAGAGATAGGCAGAAACATAAGCAGAGGGAGAAGGAGGGGAGGCCCATGCAGGACTCAATTCCAGCACCCCGGGATCATGCCCTGAACCAAAAGGCATACACTCAACTGCTGAGCCACCCAGGCGTCCCTCTTTTTACATTTCTTAATGTGCCTATGGGAAAACTTAAAATTACATGTGTACCTTGTATTGGGTATTTTGAAAATTTACACATATCCCACAAATTCAGCAATGCCAAAAAAGCAGGTTCTCTTAGGTGCAATCTATGTTGGGCAGACTTCTCTGCTCCCCGGACACATCAGGGAGCATGTCTAGTTCTAACTGATGAGGGTGACATGCACCATCCTGGACGAGCCATAGGTCCTCACTCTACACAAGGGGTGCCTGGGGGGCTGGGGAGCCAGGTACTGTGTATTTTCACAGGGACTCATATTTCGTTGGGGTGCCTGTGGGTGCCAAGGAAAGGCAACCAGTCTGAGAGGAGAGTGGGATTTCACCAGCAGCACTGGGAAGCATCAGAGAGGAAGGTGATGCCAGTAGGCTGGCGGGGGCCACAAGCAAGGCCTGAGCAAGCACACACATAAAGGGGGATGAAGAACCACCTGGAGCTGGGCAATGGTGGGGACATCTGTTAGGGGTTAGGCTGCTTGGGCTGCTATAACCAAATACCACAGACAGGACTTATCATAACAGAAATTTAGTTCTTGTAGTTCTGGAGATTAGAAATGCACAATTAAGGTGCCAACAGACTGTGTCTGCTGAGGGCTTGCTGGTTCATGGACAGCAGTCCTTCCTGTGTCCTCACATGATGGAACAGAGGGGGAGGTCTCTGGGGTACTTTATATAAAGTACTAATACCTTATACTGGGCTCTACACTCATGACCTAATCATTTTCCAAAGGCACTGCCTCCTAACACTATCACATTGTGGGAACAGACTTCAACATGTGAATTTAGAGACATACAAAAGCATTCCATCTGTAATTGTGGAAATGCAGAGAGGGAAAATCTGCATTTGGAGTTTCCGAACAAGGACATGCTCCTCCATTACAGTGTCTACCCAAGGCAACGGCAGAAACATGAAGCCACAGAAAACTCTGATTAACATTTTACATTCCCCTTTAACCAAAGGCAGCCTCACCAAGAAAATTGAGACAGAGAACTGAAAGAGATGACAAAAAGTTAAAATGATAAGTAGGAAGAGGATTCTGCAACAAGGGAAAGCATGGTTTCCTGGCTAACAAATATCTTGGTCACAAATTACAGGAAAACACAGAGCAGAGACCTTGGAAAGGGTCAGTGATACCCTGTGGGGAAGGCCAAAGGCTATCTCTACCTCTACCTCTGAAGGGTGAGTGTAAAAACACGGTCAGCCCAGAGGCAGTGATGCTCTAGTAGCAAACAGCAGAGAAGCAGGATTTCTCTGGCTCACAGGAGACCTCCAAGCGTCAAATGATAGATGTGAAATGGGTGCTAGGCTTGGGACATCATCATTTTGCAACTATCATGGTAAAGATTGAAGTGCATTCTAAATGCAAGGAAAATCCTGATGAAGAGCAGAATGTTTACGTGGTCTTTATGCATCTCCCCACTGACCACTTATTAGTTGTACGAGAGAAAAAAACCCCAGTAATTATACAGGGGGAAATCAGGCAATACCTTGACCAGCTGACCAAAAATTAGCATCACCTGTGCTGTCCATCTAAGAACACATAATCTCAATTTAATCCAAAGAAGTATCAGAAAAACACAAAATAAGAATGTTTAAAAATATCACTTTAAAAATACCCATGTCAGAGACAAGGGCTGTGGGAATGTGCTATAGACTGGATGTGCCCTCCCCCTAACCCCAATTCCCATGTTAAATTTTAACAGCTAAGGTGAGGGGGGGGCGGGGTGCCGCTGGGAAGAAATCAGATCCTGAGGGTGGAGCCTCATGAACAGGATCAGAGTCCTTGTGTTAGAGCCCCCAGGGAACTCCCTGGGAAGCCGGCTTTCCATCAGCCCCTGGAAGGGAGCTCGCACCAGACACCAGGCCAGTCCTGACCCCAGAAGCTCAGGAAATTTATAGCAGAAGCTTCTTCCAAACTGTCCAGAACTAAACTGTCTAGGAGCCAAACTCCTAGAGCCTTCTGCCTCCAGGTCAATCTCACCTTTTAGAAACAAACTGACAAACAGAAACATCTGAAGAAGCCTGAATGCAAATGAATCAGAAAGTGCCAGCAGTGACTGCCAGTTACCCCCGCCTCATTGTAACGTGAAAATCACCCTATGAATATTCATCCCCAGCTTGGCTCCGTTTTCATTACTCCCCACCATCTCCCTGTTCCTACAAATACAGTGACCCGGTGAGGCCACCCTGCCGCTGGGGTAGTCTCTGTCTCTAACTCACCACTTGGGTTGGAGAACTATGGGAACTACATCTCTTGTTTATAAGCCCAGGGTCTATGTCGTTTTCTTTTTTTTTTTTTCTTTTTTCTTTTTTTTTTTGTATTTCTATATACTTGTAATGAGCAAGCTAAAGGAATTTTTATTTATTTTTCCCCTTTTTAATTTTTTTAGCTTTAAATTGCCCACACAAGTTTATTTTTTTTAGAATTATAAATTTATTTTTTATTGGTGTTCAATTTGCCAATATATAGAAACACCCAGTGCTCATCCCATCAAGTGCCCCCCTCAGTGCCCGTCACCCAGTCACCCCCACGCCCCGCCAACCTCCCCTTCCACCACCCCTAGTTCGTTTCCCAGAGTTAGGAGTCTTTATGTTCTGTCTCCCTTTCTGGTATTTCCCACTCATTTTTTCCTTCCTCTTTATTCCCTTTCACTTTCTTTTATATTCCCCAAATGAAGGAGACCATATAATGTTCGTCCTTCTCCGATTGACTTACTTCACTCAGCATAATACCCTCCAGTTCCATCCATGTTGAAGCAAATGGTGGGTATTTGTCGTTTCTAATGGCTGAGGAATATTCCATTGTATACATAGACCACAGCTTCTTTATCCATCATCTTTCGATGGACACCGAGGCTCCTTCCACAGTTTGGCTATTGTGGACATTGCTGCTAGAAACATCGGGGTGCAGGTGTCCCGGCGTTTCATTGCATCTGAATCTTTGGGGTAAATCCCCAACAGTGCAACTGCTGGGTCGTAGGGCAGGTCTATTTTTAACTCTTTGAGGAACCTCCACACATGGCCCAATGTTTCAGCTTGAAAGACCTTACACAGACATGACAACAAAAGACAACCTCTGACCCGACACTAGATCCTGTACTGCAGGGGTCAGGGTTAACCTAACAAAACTGAAATACCACCAACAGGTTAAGGTTTTGTATCACCGGGTGTCATCAAGTTACTAAGTGTGCCACAGTCAGGCAGACCGGGAAGCTGGATCCTCAGGAAGAAAAGCCCAGACTTTTGGCTTTCGCACATTTCTGTGGTGTAAGTAACTCCCACCACAGCTGATCTGAAGCTACCAAAAATTTAACAAGAAGCCGGCAAAATTCTGAACACTCAACAATCAATCAACTCTGGTGCCTGCTCTTCGGATCACACTGACCAACTATGGATATGGCATCCCCCTTGGGTGTTCAGAAAATAACTGTGTACACATTCATATCCATCCACGGCACACTGAGGGAGCACGTATGCAAAGAGTACACGTAGAATCAAATGTAAACAACAGGTGAATATGGGCATAGTGTATCCAGGTGTCCCTGCCCCTGTTTTCACTTTTGTAACTAATGTATTAGAAACTATTTTCTAGGGGCACCTGGGTGGCTCAGTGGTTGAGCATCTGCCTTTGGCTCAGGGCATGATCCCAGGGTCCTGGGATTGAGTCCCGCATCGGGCTCCCTGTGGGAAGCCTGCTCTTCCTTCTGCTTATGTCTCTGCCTCTTTGTGTCTCTCATGAATAAATAAATAAAATCTTAAAAAAATTTATTCATGAGAGACAGAGAGGCAGAGACACAGAGGGAGAAGCAGGCTCTATGCATGGAGCCCGACGTGGGACCGATCCCAGGTCTCCAGGATCACGCCCTGTACTGAAGGCGGCGCTAAACCGCTGAGCTACCTAGGCTGCCCAATAAATAAAATCTAAAAAAAAAAAAAAAAAAATCTTTAAAAAATCATTTTCCAATAAAAAGATCTTTTTTTTTTTTTATGCTCTAAATGTAAGTTTGAAACAACCAAAAAATATTCAAAAAATGGAAAGGCAGGGGATCCCCCTGGGTGGCTCAGTGGTTTGGCGCCTGCCTTTGGCCCAGGGCTTGATCCTGGAGTCCTGGGATCAAGTCCCACATTGGGCTCCCTGTGTGGAGCCTGCTTCTCCCTCTGCCTGTGTCTCTGACTCTCTCTCTCTGTGTGTCTCTCATGAATAAATAAATCAAATCTTAAGAAAAAAAAAATGGAAAGGCCAATTTCTAAATACATGGATTAACTAACACTAACATGTACAGTATTTCTGACGTTTCAAAAAGTCAAACTTCAAGAACTAGAAGTGAAATGAGTCATAGTTCTTTAAGTAACAGAGTTCTGTGAAAGAAAGACGGGGTTTATGCATGTTTGAAAGCTCCAGTGCACTAAGGTAATTGTTCACTGATGGTTAGTTATAGGCTCTAAATCAAGGTGACAAGCTTAAACGGTGGGAGGAAACACAACATGTCACTGCAATTCAACCAGCATGACAGACCCTAACCCTGACGGGGCACACACCCAGTAGGAGGCAGGCAGTAGGGTGACATAGCTGACCACACACAGGATTTTTAAGGGCACCCTGGTGTCCAGGGTTTGGAGCAGAGGAAAGAGCACTGGGCAGGAAGCAGCAGGTCACGTCCACTCCAGAACAGCACGGGCTCACCTTGATCCTCTGGTGTTGCCAAAGCCACATGCAGCAGGAACAAAGTGAATTCTGACTTCAATTTGGAGGGAAATCATTAAGAAGTGAATTGGTAACAGACCCTTCATATCACGCAATAATGTCTCCTCTGCTGAGGTCCTGGATAACTTTAAGAGTGTAATAGGGTCGTGATACGTTCCAGCATCCCTGGCATTGTAGCTCATCACCCGTGCCCTGCTCTGTGGTGTTTCTACCTGAATAAGGCCCTTGGTGGGTCTCCCAGCATGGAACTTTGGAAACACTGAGGGGATCTCAGGACAGGTGCCAGTCTAGCAACCGTGGCCAGCCCCTTGTGGAACTTGAGATCTGGAGGCCCCATCAGTAGAACATGGGCCCAGATCAGAGGCTCCACCTGCCCTGCTCATAAAAGATGCTCCTGCCAACCCACGCTGTACTACTCTCCGTGTGGAGGCCAGGAATGTGGTTTGCCAAGAATGACAGGCCACTTCCAGGCAGGAGGGCAACGTATGGGGCCTGCATACCCACTGCTCAGGTCTGCAGGTCACCAGTCGGACTCTGCACCACCCATCTGCACCACCCATCTGTGTCACGGGCTCCACACTCCATTCTTAGTAGGCATGGCTGGAAGAGGGCTATGTGGCCTTCTGGCACAGCCCCCAGCACCAGTGCCCTTGCTGCAAAGGGGACTCAGGGTGTGGGGCGAGGGGCATGAGGGCCCTATGCACCCAAGACAAAAGCGACGGCCCCAGTGCAAGACAAAGGCATGTGATGGCTCAGGATGGCAAGGAGGCTGGGTGGGGTACGTACCCGGCACTTGAGCTCATACTCCTTTAGGACCTCTGCAAACCGCTCCTCCTGGGCCAGGAGTTCTATGCTCTGTGGCTCCAGCTAAAAGTCAGACCCGCACAGGAAAATGACAGAACCTCAGACCAGGTAGAATGTGTGCTATCACCCTTCATGCTCCTTCCACTGGGCTCAGCACCTCCAGGTATAGCCTTCCACCCCTCCTCCTCCCTCCTCTCGTTTAAAAGATCTCAAGGCAAAAGGATGCTCTGAATTTACAGAGGGTGGTCATACTCCGAACTGGAGCTTGGGGTGCATTCCTTCCTGCCTTGGCTACCTGGGATGCTCCCTGCCTGGACCTCTCCATGCAACACCTATCCTCTGTGCCCCTCGCCACTGAGAACCCATCACTGGGGTCTGTGCAGCTGACACTGGCTGGCCTAGGCCCCATCACTACAAGATCAACAGGCACGGTGGCACTAGAGCATACCAGCACCCCTGCACTGGCATAAAGAGGAAGAAAACAGAACGGAAGTCACCCTGCTGATTTGCTCTGCATTCTGGAATTGTAAAATTTAGAAAACAACATATTCACTCACCTATGTAATCTTTTTCAGGTCCCTGACACCTTTTACCCCGTGCCCAGAGACTAAGAATCAGCAGAAGGACTTGCCTTGTCCTTCAACACAAAGTCCAGGTCATTCTGCAGTTTCAAGACTAGCTTCTCTGATTCTGAAAGCTTTTCCACAACTTCAACAATCTCCTTCTGTAATCGACTGTTTTCCTACAAGACACAAACCAGCAGTTTTCTGGGCTTTGGGAGTGGAGGACAGAGGTGGGGGCAGCCGGTCTCCCCTCTGGGTCAGAGACTTATTCCCAGCAGCACTCATTTTATTTTTTTTTAATTTATGATAGTCACAGAGAGAGAGAGAGAGAGAGAGGCAGAGACATAGGGAGAGGGAGAAGCAGGCTCCATGCACCGGGAGCCCGATGTGGGATTCGATCCCGGGTCTCCAGGATCGCGCCCTGGGCCAAAGGCAGGCGCCAAACCGCTGTGGCACCCAGGGATCCCCCCCAGCAGCACTCATACGCAAGGAAGAAACTCCTGCCAATGCAGCCTGACTGGTGCTCACTGCCCTGGCACCTGCAGGGGAGGCTGTGCTGGGGACCAACCTGCGGAGCCCCTCACTAGTGCTGGTCACTTTCCCCAGCGCACCTTCTTTTCCTGCCCTGAACGCTCAAGAAGTCCATGAGTAACACAAGAAGAGGCTGGGGCAATCCTTTCTGAGCCACTGTCTAAATGAGGGATTTGAAACAGCACAGAGCTCAGACGTCCCCCGGAGGAGGAAGACAGTGCCCAGAGACACAGGAAAACAGTGAGAAGAGCAGTGAGGACACAGGGCAAGGACTCGGCTTCTCCCCCAGGGAGGCAAGAAACAGGCAGATGTGGAAAGAATCTGCAGGCTCCGTGTTAGAAACAGAGGAGGAAGGCAGAAGCACAGGAGGAATCGGGGGACACCTCACTGGATGGAACCAAATGTAGGGTGGCTGGGGGTCGCAGGACACTCACCAAAGCCCAAAAACCCTGTGAGCTTCAGGCTACACAGTCAGGACTCCAGCAGGCTGGGATGTAAGCTTTGGTCTTTTGCTGACCTCACAGATGCTCTGGTCTCCCGGGGTTGGGGGCAGGGGCACAGCGAAGCCCCAAACACCTATTTGGGGCTGACCGTCCCTGACCACTGTCCCCTTGAGCCAGAGCAGAGAATAGGAGCCCCACGGATCTTGACCTGCCCTGCTGCCCCCATGACCAGAGAGAAGGAAGGGGCAATGCCTCTGGTGGAAAAGCCAGAGACGTTTCTGCTTTGGCTGAGAAGTGTGCTATCTCTGTGACTGCAGCAAACATTTCTTGGTTGGAAATCCCAGGCATTTTCTGACCACGGAAATGTAAACTTCAGGTTTCTAGAAGGTATTCAGTCCCTGACTAGGAAAATGTGGGGTCTGGGAGGATGAACCCTTAGGCAACCTCATCTCTGTCATTCAGTGTAGAACAGCCTGGGGAGACACTGCTCCCCACCTACCTTCTGGGCCAGGGTCAGCTTTTCCCGGAGGCTGGCCTCCTCGGCCTGCAGGCGCTCCAGGTCCTTCTCCAGCACAGCTCTCTGCCGGCAGGTCTGCTCCCAGAACAGCTCCCGTTCCCTCTCCACCTCAGACCTCAGGAGGCTCAACCTTTCCCGGTACCCATGCTCCAGGTGTCTGTGAGGCACACATTGAACATGTCATGTTGGGTTGCAAGGGGCCCCCCAGACCCACACTGACCCCCACCTCTCCAGGGACATCTCCTGGGCAACACGGCCTTTCTTCCCTGGAACCTTCCTGCCCATGGCAGTTGGCTACACTGTCTGGGACTCAATTGTTCCTGCTGGACATATAGGGTCACTGAACCTCAGCTAAACAGCACAGGGGCCCTCCTTTAAAGTCCCCCTACCCTGGGCCTGACAGTGGGCACCCCCACTGTCCAGGGCCGGGGGAGGTGACAAGGGAAGCCAGTAGGTCCTGGAGCCTCTGGAGTGAGCTAGCCAATGCTCTCTGGGGGTAGACCTCTCTGATGCCCTCTGCCTTCCGGCTACCTCCACACCAGGACAGCCATCAAATGCCCCAGGTAACCAAATGTGCACCAAAGCAAGCCTCTTGTGCAGGACACAGGCAACATAAAACCTATGGACAGTGCTCCCAAAGCCATCAGAGGAGAAGGTAGGAGGCATTTCCCCCCCCTCAGTTTCTGCCTTACTCTTTTGTAAGAACCATTTATATCAGCAGAAAAAAGTGCCAAATCTTAGTTTTATCACTGAAACAGATACTTAGCAGGATTTCTCAAACCAAGACTCTCTAGTCTGAAGATGGGCATAACTCTTGCTTCATTCAGCAGAGGGCTTGGCAATGTTAATAATTCAGCAGAGAACACTGGGGGCTCATCCCCCAGGCCCCTCCACACAGTCTGGACTTTCCCATCTCAGAACTTCAAGGAAAGAACACCCGGCATGAAAGGAGATAGAGAAAGGACAGCTGTTACTTAGGGGAAAACAGTCAGATGAATCTAGCTAATGTAACACTCCACAAACCTTGGGGTAGTTTTAAAAACACCTATTTGGGGCAGCCCCAGTGGCACAGCGGTTTAGCGCCGCCTACAGTCTGGGGTGTGATCCTGGAGACCTGGGATCGAGTCCCACATCGGGCTCCCTGCATGGAGCCTGCCTGCTTCTCCCTCTGCCTCTCTCTCTGTGTTTATGAATAAATAAATAAAATCTTAAAAAAGAAACAACACCTATTTGTATCACTCCATTCTTTAAAAACTTTCAAAATATCCAACAAAAGGAAAATGGAGGGACGCCTGGGGGGCTCAGAGGTTGAGCGTCTGCCTTCGACTCGGGATGATCCTGAAGTCCCGGGATCCAGTCACATCAGGTTCCCTACATGGAGCCTGCTTCTCCCTCTGCTTGTGTGTCTGCCTCTCTGTGTCTCTCATGAATACATAAATAAAATCTTAAAAAAAAAAAAAAAAGGAAAATGGATAAATAAAATGTGGCAGACGCACATAATGGGATGCTCTGCAAGTCACCACAATAGCATATGTGATACAATACACAATACAATGCAAAATAATACAATTATTTTCCAAATAATTATGTGCATGGAAAAAAAAGTGAAGGACATAAAAACATCAGAAGTAATAACATCTGGGTGAAATTTCTGCTTTTATTTTTATTTTTACTTGTATTTTCCACAATGAACATGTATCATTTATTACTCTTGTAATAAGAAAAACCTAATACAGCCATAAAAGCTATTTCTAGAAACTCCTGCTAATGCTCCATTACTCATGGGGCCTTCGTGTCTCCCTTGGCCAGATTCTCAGACCAAGATAAGGCTTTCAAGTTTGTGATTCTCGGACCCCAAGAAAGACATCATAAAATTCTTCCCATGTGCTTGGGAGAGAATCAAGCATAACATGCCATGACTGAAGCAAATCAATTCTGTTACCTAGCTCTCAGACACAGTTCCTTAAAAAGGAGTTTTCTCCCTTGAACCAAGAGCTGGTAGGTAGGTGGCAGTGCAGGGCCAACAGGAAGATCGTCTGGGACTCAAGCAGCTCCTGGTCTAGAGGCCTGTGTGGGCCCTCTAACCCCAGGGTCCCAATGAGGCTGCCACCCACAGTCTTAGAGGCACCACAATCAGTGTGGCTCCTGCTCAGGTAGGATCCCAAGCCTGCAAAGTCAGTGGTGAGTCTAACGGACCCATGCAGTTGGAAGAGCCACAAGGAGGCAGGGGAAGCACCGAGAAAGGAAACAATGTGCTAGCAACCACTCTGTTGGCTTCTTCCAAGGTTCCTTCAGTTCCTAATTTTTAATCATAGTCTCACTCTGTGGAAACCCATGCTGACTCTGTTTTATGAGGTCAGGGAATCAAGGAGACCATATCAAGTGAGCAAAATCATACACGGATAGCTTCAAGAGCCAACAGATTAAACACTCTAGCTCCACCAGCAGGAACTGGCTCAGCAAGAAGAGGTCAATGGGGAGGCTTGTTGCTGGATGCTACCAGGGAATCAGCTGAATGCAGACTGTGGATTGCTGACAGGAGCAGAAATAAAATGCAGTTATTTTGTAACTAAATGCTCCTCTGTGATCAACATCATCCATGTTCCACACTGAGATAAGGGTGGCTCAGCACATCCACACAAAAGTCAAGGTGTCAGGGCTGGTCTTCCCACCCTAGGCACCATGGCCTTACCAACACCTCCATACAGTTTGACCCTGTTTGTTTATTTCCTCAGGTTTGACTGGAAACATATTTTTTACAGATTTTATATATTTGACAGGGAGAGCTCACAAGCGAGCACAAGCAGGGAGAGGGGCAGGGGGAGGGGGAGGGGGAAAAGCTGGCTCCCCGCTGAGGCCTGAGCTGAAGGTAAATGCTCAACCAACTGAGCCACCCAGGCGCCTGAGATCGGAAATATTCTTGAAAATTAATGTTTTGGTTTCCTGAACATTACCATTATTCCATGAAAGTCTTTCATACAGGAATAGTGGAAGTGAGTACATACGTGTGCACTTCACACAGCCACACACACTCTCACTCTTTCACACTAGGCCCCCTGACTCCATTTCTTGCATACTTCTTCTCCATACCAGGCAGAGGGAGGTGTAGACTTCTGCTGCTGAGCAGACCAGGATCTCAGCCTGCTGCATCTGACTTTTCCCAGTCACCACCAGTAAGGAAAGGGCATCTCAGGCCTTTGGGATTCCAGAGGCCTGTAGACTCAGATATGTAGCTCTATTTGGCCCAGAGCCTGTGCCCCCATAGACCAATAGGGACAGCCAATACCTTCCCTTGAAACCTCTAGTACACGGGTCCTATGAGAGGGTGAGCCAGTGGGGCCCTGGGGTGCTGACCTAGCACAGCGGGATGTGCCTCCAGGTGACCTCAGCTTGGGAAGGCGACAAGCTCTCTACCCTGCAGTTTTCCTCCTGCCTAATGTTTCGTCTTCTTACACTCTCAATACATAGCATACCAGGGCCTTATGCTCTCAGAGGCAGCATGAGATAAGGAGAGGACACCTGGCTTCAAATTTTGGGCCACGCTGGTTGTGTGACTATGGGCAAGCTACTGTACTGCTGCCAAGCCTCAGTTTCTTTAGCTGAAAAATTAGGCTAAATAGCCAAGTATTTGGGTAAAACCACAGTTGGTAAGTCAGGATGCCTGGCACATAATAGGGGCACTGCCACACAACAGTCTCACAGGCTGGATAGAAGCTCCTGCCTAAGGGCCGACTAGCTCTGCAACCCCCAGACCTCTGGCTGCTTCATGAAGGGCCCGGCATCCCTGGTGAACATGGCTCTTAGGCTTCAATGTCACTGTTTAGGTCGACACAATCAACAGGCCCTATGTAGCCATGAAACCCTCCATCCCCTGTGGCCGTGCTGCAGACCTGTGGAGCCCCAGGGAAGCTGGCTGCACCCTGGGGTGCCTCCAGTCCCTCCCACGGTGAGTCACGAGGCCCTGCGGTGAGGGCTTTGTAACTATAACCACGACAGTCCCCACACAGGGCAGGAACAAGGCTTTCTTGGGATGGTGCTCAGAAACCTGCAGTAAGGCAGATGGAGCAGGGAAAAGGTCCCTGGGAAGGCCTTTCCACTGCCCAGGGCCATGCAAGAGGGGACTTCATGTACCGCAGGCCACAATACCCACAAACTGCTGGCAGGGCTGGTGCAAGAGACATGTCAGCTTCACGTGCGACAACCACACACGACAGTGAGAGGAACATTCAGAGGCACAGGAATGAGACAGCCTGTCACAAGCTCAGTCCTCTGCCCACTGAAACCATGTATACTACCTGAAGTATTGCTTCTCTTGGTCACACATTTTGCGGAGGCCCCACACGGCTAACCTGCAGGCATGACAGGTGCACACATACTGACTGGTGCCCTCTTGTGCAAAGGATGGCCTGTCACCATTCCCATTTCACCGATGAGGAAGCTCAAGGGCTCCGTCCACCCAAGATCACAGGAGGGCTGGTGAGGGAGGACGAGGAGGGAAGGCTGGAGCCTCCCTGTGCCCCTGCCACTGCTACTACCAAGAGCTGAGTATAGCACACTGGACTTTCCACAGTGCACACCCTTTGCTATCTTTGAGGGGATACTCCAGGTGACAAAAGTTTCCAGAAAGTGAAGAACGAGGTGAGCTCTGTGAGGGAAGCCTAACATAGAGTGTTCCCCACAATGGGATGGAAAGCCTCTCTGCACGCCCCAGCCTAGGAGATCCTCGGGGGCCAGATTTCTTCACATTTGGCTAATAAGCCAGAGGGGTAGGTTCTGTGTCCATAAAAGGTCAGACCCCTCCCTCTGATGTCCAGCCACCAGCCCGACCAATGGAGCAGCCCATTCCCCAGGGCTCTGCTTGGCCCATCATACCTCACGAAGGCACTGCCTGCAGTGGACCGGCACACACAGAGCTGGATGCTCCCGCACGTGTCCCCGCATCACAGAGAGCATAGCTACTTGTTTAAATGCACCCCTCCCCCTTCTTTCAAGGAGGGACATCCCCAGAGGTGCTCCTTCTAGACTTCTACTGGCTCAGGTGAAGCAGGAGGGCCTCGGCTCCACCAAGTTCATGACCCCAGCCTTGGCTAGCAGCAGCCCTGCACCCACCACCACCCCCCTTAGCCAAGGCTGGGGAATTACTGCCCAGCTGCCAAGGAGCTGCAGCTATGGGCTTGGGTATGACCCTAGGACCTACTGGATTTTCTTCTCTGTGAGCTGCTCTAGGGCAGAGTGACAGTCATCCATCTCTTGCACAAACTCCAGGTTCCTCTTCTCAGCTCTCTCCAGGTCCTGCCTCGCCTTGTCTCGCTCTCTTGCCATCTGCTCCACTTGCCCCTGTCACAGGAAGGAGACAGGGTCAGATGGGGACACCTGCCCCGTGTCTGCATGAATGATAAAAGGGGCTGCATTAACTGGGTGCAGAGCATGGCAGGTGCCATGCTCTGACCTCACTGCCACCACCAGCTATCTCCTAAAGGTGATTTCCAGAATTACCATGCCCCTTTTACAGATGCACATACAACAGAGAAGCTACATGACCTGCCAAGGAAGGTTTCCAGAAAGTTTCTGAACCAAGGAAGTCTGAAACAGTGTGCCAGACCTCCAGATGGCCCAGAACAGGTGAGAATTTATCCATGCCCCTTCCTGTCTCCTCTCCCAGGAATCTCCAGCACCTAATCTGGGACTGGATACCTGAAGGGGAGAAGGCTGGCCACCCATATCCTGCCTGGTCATCTCCCACTACCTGCAGCCTGGCATCTAGGTGAGTCACCCAGAGCAGGCCCCACCGAGGCTCTGCACACAGCCCCAGCACCTACTATCTGGTGACCATTTCTCCCCCTGAAGGAGACAGAGCTTATCTCCTTCCGTCCTCCCAAGACACAGTCTTTCTGGGGTCCTATTTGCTGAGCTGCCTCTGGTCAGAAGGCTTAGCCATCATGATTTCTTTCCTGTAGCTTTGGAACATCAATAAACACAAAAATGATCTTTACGCTCATCTGCTGAGCGGATAGATGACCCAAGTACTCAGTACTTGAAAGCCGAACCCAACTAAAATGGTCTGCATTCTCAGCACCCTGTCACTTTGCTCTTGGGGGCCACATTGAGAAACATTTTCTTCTGCTCTCCTGCCAGTTGCCCCAGCCCACGAGCCCTCAACATGCTCTTGGAGCACACCCCTACCACTTGGAGGATTTCTGCCTCTGCACCCAAGAGCCCCAGTGTCAGCAAGATGTGTCAGGTCCAAATGCCCGCTGGGAACCTTGCTAAAGGGGCTAAGGGAGGACCCTGATATCAGTTTGTAAGCTTCTCACCAAATATAAAGACAAGTCAGTAACTCTGAAATTCTGTGGCTGTAAAAGCCCAAACCGCAGCTACTGAACAGGCCACTGGGTCCTGAAACCCCACTCAAACCACACACATGGGGATGTCCTTCCAGGCACAGGGAGCACTCTGCTCTTTCCCTGTCCCCACAAAAGTGCCCACCAAAAGAATAGCCAGTGGCAAAGGTGGTGTCAAACCCCTGCCCCCAGGGCAGGGTTCCCCTCCTGGCAGCCTGGCCAGCTGTACCCACCCCGCTACCCAACCACCCTGGGCTCTTACTGGCGGAAGCTCAGCTCCTGGCGGTAGCAGGCCAGGGCCGCCTGCTGAGTGGCACCACCAACCATCATAAGCTCATTCTCAAGGGCCCAGGTCAGCTCCAAGAGGTTCACCTTCTCGTCCACACTGAAGTCAAGACTCTGGAAACAACAAAGCCCATCAGGCAGGAAAGGATGTGTGGCTTCTCCAGACACTTCCTGGCTTTCCTAAGAATCGGCAAGGCCCAGACCCATATTGTCCTGTAGGCAGCACCTGCCCTCTGTCTGCCCCTGCTCATGGGATTCTGGCCTTGCCTCCCCGATCATCCCTGACAAGGCAAAGTTCTCCCCCCACCCCTCACCAGGGTGGATGTGGCCCAGGCGGGACTGAGACCCTCTTCCTGGAAAAGGAACTGACACAGAAGGGGCACGTTCCAGGCAGAGGACATCAAGGGAACTGATGGGGAGGCCCGGGAAGAGGCCTTTCTCCCTGTGAAGCAAGGCTGTACAGAGCCTGCTGGCCTTGGCTGCTGCATGAGAAGACCTGACCAGAGGCCAGTGTCACTGAGAAGGGAGCAGAGGACAGAAGGAAGAGTGCCCTGGTGATACCCCTGGGACACCTGCTCCCGAGTGCCTGCCCCAGTGAGCCCCTCTGTCCCCTCTGCTTAAGCCATTTAGAGTTGAGTTTTTATCATTTCAAATTAATAGAATCTCTGTGAAATATGTGTACAGATGGGTGGAAAAACAATCCAACAGATGAGCCACAGCCCAGCACTGCACAGAACACAGCATTCTTTTCCCCTCAGGGTTTTGAAAATAAGAGAATAGAACAATTTATATGTATTATACCACAGGGATAATAAACCATGTAGACCCATCCGCTCAGCTGACAGTAACAAACACTTTGCTACATTTGCTTTTCTAGTGCTGAGTGTTCTTGACCTCTGCTTCTTTCTATGATGTCAAAAAAATCAACACTTACACCCCAGTCCAGAGGCAGGCAGGACACACATCAGGGCTCGCAGAGAAAGAGCCATAGCATTCCCAGCTCACATGTGGGAATGAGGCCTGCTCCCTTCTAGAACTTATAAAATGGAGACTCAAATTCCCACGGCTCCTGCACGTCCCAGAGCACTTCTGAAGAGACAAGGACATTAGGGTGAAGCGTCTGGAGGGACTGGGAAGCTCAAGCTGTTTCTCCACAAGTACTGACGGCTCAGCAGTCACAGTAGCAGCTTCCTGATCAAGAAAGGAGTCCTCAGGGCAGCCCGGGTGACTCAGCGGTTTAGCGCCGCCTTCAGCCCAGGGCCTGATCCTGGAGACCCTGGATCGAGTCCCATGTCAGGCTCCCTGCATGGAGCCTGCTTCTCCCTCTGCCTGTGTCTCTGCCTCTCTCTCTCCCTATGTGTCTGTCATGAATAAATAAATAAAATCTTAAAAAAAAAAAAAAAGAAAAAGAAAGGAGTCCTCAAAACCACATGGCTTGGGCAGGAGCCTGCTTCCAGCCAGCTCCATGCCCCTTGCCTCTTGGCATCCACATCCAGGTATTCCCCTTCTACACCCAACAGGGCCAATCTGGGTGACCCTACAGGACACCGAGGAGGTAACAGCACATGCCTTCCGAGGCTGGGGCTTGGAAGACATGACCTCCTCCCCGCTCTCTCTTAGATGGTGCTCTAGGGAAGCCACTGCCCAAACATCCCTAGGAAAGGGCCATGCGCAAGACACGGTGGCCTTCTGCTACAGTGAGCATCAGCCTGCTGACTTGAAGTTCAGCCCGTCAGACCCTCACAATACATGTGCCAAACCTTGGGGGAAACCCTGGGCTAGAATCACCTACTACACAGTTCCCAAATTCCTGACCCACAGAAGCTGCTCCAGCGGGAATGCTCAGTGTGCTTAAAGGTATAATTCAGTTGGTGATTTGTTGAGGAGGGACAGACAACCAATCCCAGGCCTCTTCATAGAGCGTTCTCAAGGGCCTACATAAAGAAGCCCCCTGAAATGGCCAGGAGTGGTCTTGAGAAGCTGGGATTGGATGCGACCATGTCCAGGCTGAGGGCTCACCCAGCTGGGTGCTTCCGTCTCCAGAGAAAGGCCTTTCCTTTTCAGGCACAGTGTGCTTGGTGCTCCTGCTGGGGCAGTGGCCTGTGGTCCTGATCACCAAGGTAATATGACAAAGCCTATCAGGAGTCAAAACATGTAACTTCAGGAATCTAGCCTATGAAGAAACACCAACACAGGAGCAGATGGGATGTAAGTATATATTTTAAATGCCAAGATTTAGAACAGAAAAAATTTACATGTAAAGCTGAAATATCTAAAAATACATTTCTGTGTAGGGAAGGGCTCCCAGAACTGCCACTAAACCATCAGGTTGCCACCCTGAAGAATGGGAGTAAAAAGGGGCAGGCTTTTATTCTTTTATATTTTCCTATACAGTTCACACTTTTTTTTTCTACAACACAAAGTGAACTTTGGAGATGAAGGAGATCAGTCCAGCTCACCGCATGCACTTCCAGCAGTGTGTTCTTCCCTAACCCTTGATCGGCCCCTGTGCATACCTGCCTAGGCCACCCTGGAGCAAGCTCCTTCCAAAGCATAAAGGTCTGGCCATGTGTCCCTGGGCCCGCGTCCCTGGGGGAGGTTAGACGGGCCCTGCATGAAGACAGCCTTGTGGACCGGCCCATCAAAGAGCATGCAGGAACTTGGGAGGAGGCAGCAGGACAGGGTGGCCCTCCATGGCCCTGAGCGCGTGTTGGAGAGAGGATGTGGGCAGGTCAGGCCTATGCAGGGAGAGGAACAGCTCGCCCAGGCCAGCAGGTGGCTCTGATAAAATCCAGGTTCCCTGTGGAGCTTGGCCTCAACAACATGGAAACACTCAGACTACTGGGATGGTGACATCCAGTATCTCCATCACAAGGAAAGCAATTTCTTGCCCTTCTCTGGGACTGACCTCCCTCCTTCAGGCACACAGAACATCTCTAAGGCTAGCAGTGCACTGAGGGAAATGTCTACTATGCCAAAACCTACTTTCAGATGGATTTGCTTCAGACTGTTCTACCTCTTATTTATTATCTTAAGTTAAAATCTCCTATATTTTAATAGCAAGAAATAAAGAAGAAACAGGCCTTTCCTTCATGAGGTTCTCCACAGAGAGCACAGGCCCTGTGTGCCTGGGATTCTCTGTCCAGCCTCTGAGAGGTCCCTCACCAGCCCAAGCTGCCTGGACACTCCCCCAGGGGCCACTGCGAGTGACCAGTTCCAGACCTGCAAGATCTCCCTGCCGTTCTGAATCCCCTCCTGGGCCCACAGAGCAATGAGCTGCTCGGGAAATGCACAGCCAGTGCCGTCATCAATGCTGCCTAAGAGGCGCAGGCCTGAGCACACCGACACCAGGGACGATGTTGTGGTCGTTTGGCAGCCGCCCTCCTCCAGGACCTGTGTGAGGGGAAAGCAAAGATGCCTGTGAGCCCGTGGGCCTCTTGTTCATGCCTCAGATTTTCTGGCTGTCTGGTTGAGGCCTGAGAAGAACAGCTCACACAGTGACCGTCGGCCCCTTGCCCACATCCTCATGGCTTCACCAGTGACATGGTGGAGGTCTGAACCCAGGCCTCCAGACACCTGGCCTGAGGCCTGCTTTCCTACCGTCCACAGAGGCCTTGCCAAGGAACACATCCTAGCACCCGTGTGGCCCAACTGGTCAGCACAAGCTGCTTAGTGGGAGACATGAAGGGGTCTTAAACTCTCTCCCCTGATTCGGAAATGGTGTGCACCTGGCTTCTCAAAGGAAGAGATGGGGAAGGCGCATGCCAGCGCCAGAAAATCCAGCCTGGGGAAAGAAATCCAAGATGGGCTTGAAAAGAAGAGGTGGAATGGCCCAGTCAAGCATCTCCCCAGCCTTCAGAGATGCATCTCACAGCTGACAAAATTGGGGAGTTTTATTTTTTTTAAAGATTTATTTTAATTTTTTAAAAAAGATTTTATTTATTTATTTGAGAGACAGAGAGCAAGAGAGAGAGCATGAGTTGGGGGAGGAGCAGAGAGAGAAGCAGGCTCCCCGCTGATCAGGGAGTTTAATGCGGGGCTGGATCCCAGGACCCTGAGATCGTGACCTGAGCCGAAGGCACTTAACTGAGCCACCCAGGTGTCTCTATTTGTTTTAAAGAGAGATGGGGTGGGGGGCACACAGAGGGAGAGGCAGAGAGAGAAGCAGACTCCCCATTCAGCACAGAGCCCACGAGGGAGAACACAACCCTGAGATCCAGACCTGAGCTGAAATAAAGTGTCAGATGCTCAACCAAATGACCCAACCAGATGCCCCAGAATCGGGGAGTTAAGATGGGGGAAGAAAATCTCTTGGGCTTAGGGGCTATAAGAATCTGTTGAGCAAAACTGTTTTCTGCCCCAGGGAGCACAAGCAGTTTTTGTCTGGGGCCACAGGAATGAGGAGCAGCAGCCCCTTCTTTCTGGTCACCAGAGTTCCCATCACACTCCAGGGTTCCCCTCCTTGCTGGCCTCTTCTCAACTCCCCTCTTGCTATTTCCGAACATTCCAAGCTTGTCTCATGGCCTGAAACATTTTCCTCCCACACGTCCATAGCTGTGCTTTCCAGGGCTCTGCTCTAACAGCCCCTCCTAGCCCACCATATCCTCTCCACACACTCACATCCTCAGCAGTGCTCACAGGACCATAAGCCCTCATCTGTTCTCAGCTGTGTCCCTCCATAAACACTCAGGAATTGGGTGCTCACTAAGGCATCCTAGGTACTTTACAGCCCTACAAAGTAGGTATTTGATCCTGTTTACAAAAAGGGAGAGGGCAGCTCAAGACTGGCTGGCAACGTGGCGGCTGTGTGGAGAAGCTCAGATACCCAAATGCACCCTGACCATCCTTGTCTCCCTCCCACCCGTTTCCTTCATGAGGACTGTGAGCTCAAGAACAGGTATGTCATGGCGACCTAGCAGGAGAAGGTGGGAGCTAGGCCACACACCTGAGGGCCAGCACCACCATGCCATGCCGGAGTCCACACATGGATGCAATGTCCTCTGCCCACAGCTGTATTGGCTCAGGGCGCTTCCCAAGCAGCACCTCTGACTAAAGATGGGTGCTGCCCGGCCTCATTGCTGCGTCCCATGGCTCAGAGCCCTGTTCAGCTGTGCATCCTCAGTGGGACTCAGGTACAGGGGCACCTCCACCATAGAAGAGGCACAATTCTACTGGTGCCAAGCATGACTTGTTTGGGACTTCATCATGGCCTCTGACCTTATGTGGCCTGACACCTTCCTTTAACATTCCTAGTTTCCTCTCTGTCCATGCTCATCAGGTTCAGATTCAGAGACTGGACTCTCAGATCACCCAGCCTAGCAGAGAACAATGTTCCCAGTCCTGCACCACCGTCCACAAACTATGCCATCAGCCATGTCAGAAGAGAAGCATCGGCAAGATTCCCCCAGAGAATGGTGCCCTGTGGTGGAAGACAGAGGTTTTTCTGTCCTGGCATGGAGAAAAAACAAATGCGATCACAATTAAATAACTGTCTAAAATCTGCACTCCTCCATCTGCAGAGACCTGGTATTTGTACGAGAGAGAAAACTGAGGAATACAGGACAGGGCAAGCACAGGGTGAGGAGTACCTGGAGAACCACTCCTAGGGAAGGTAAAGAGTGTTTTCACAGCACCACAGCGAGGATGAAAGAAGCCTCTCCTGCACTAGGATAGGCCATAAGGAGACAACCGAGAAACTGCATGTAATCCTCATAAAATCCCTATGAGGTGGGAGCCCATCTTACAGATGAAGAGTCTGAGGCCCAGAGAAGGCAAGTAACTCAATCAGGGGCACACACCTGGGGAGGGGCAGTGTCAGATCAGCCCCAGACCTGTGTGGTTCTAGAATCTAAGCCACGTGCACTCATATGTGTGCACACCCCCACCAATGCCCAGGTCTGTGCAGATGCTGAAGGCCACGGCTACTGCTGTGGTTCAAGGCCTAATCATCCCACTTTACCTGGTAATGAGACCAGGACATGCTTGGTTTGCTGAGGGTGGAAGATCCTGGAAGTGAAGTAGGCCCATGATTGAACAGGCCAAGCTGGAATTCCTCGAGACTCACTCGGCCGTCTCCATCTTGATCCAGTTTGTTAAACAGATCCTCCAGTTCCTAGACAAAAGCCGCCACACCTGTCCTGAGGCCACAGTTGTTCTCCCCAAGCAGGGCAGTCTGTTCACCCTTACCAAATTCAAACGGTCTGGGACACCCCTGACCTCCCCCAGCTGCAGCCTATGACCTCTACATGCCTGCTCAGTTTCCACTCCACGGTAAACAGATGCCACCTGCACTTCTCAATTCCATAAACATCCATTCAGAGTCTACCTGCCAGGAACTTGGTGGATGGTAGGAGGAAGACACAAATATAGAAGGTGCCCTTAGCCCTCAGTGGTTCAGGTACTAGCAAGGACAGCAGGCTAAGGGGGATTTTACTAGGGTAAGGGGGAGCTTCCCCATCATCACTGCCCCCCAACTCCCCTTGGCCCCCACAGGAGGAAGGGAGGGGTGAATACAGCCACTGGGGAGTGCAGCCTGCCTCGGAGAGCAGGGTATCTGGGCTGGGCGCACAAACCAGGCAACTCTAGGTGGGGGAAGGGTCACGGTGAAGATGCTCAGACACCGGTGGGAAGGCTACTCGTGATCTGTGTGGGTGCAGCCCTTAGCAGCAGCACTGGGAGTTAGGAAAGGACTACACACCAGAAAGCGGCACAACCACATCAGTGTCTGAAGGGTGAAGGGACTCTCCAGACCCAACACCAGCCTGACCCCACAAAGAGCCCATCCTTGAATGTGGTCTGCCTTGGCCCCTCTCACCTCCTTCTCCAGGCCCTGGAGCCCGATGCTCTGGCAAACAATGGCCAGCTCCTGCTCGTTGAGGTGGCCGCTACTGCCAACGCCCAGCTCTTCCCAGATGCCCCGGACCCGGCTCTCGGGCGTGTCCAAAGAGAGGCTGCAGGGCTTGTGGAGGCACCCGAAGACCTCGGAACCCCAAGCTGGCAGCTGGCCTGAAGCAGGGAGAGTGACAGGTAAATCCCATGCTCCAGGTGGAAGCAGCTGGGGGAAACACAACAATGCTGGCAATTCATGCTGAAATCAGATGGGCACACTTGAGTAGCAAAGCATCAAAGGTGGAATCTAGGTGATGGGTACACGATGTTCACAGTGTGATTCTTTCATCTTCATTCTATGTTTACAACTTTTCATAGTAAAATGTCAGTGCAGGGGAATCTCTGGTCCACATGGGGAAAGCTTTTTCTGAAGGGAACTTCCTAAAGTCAGACACCACAGAAAGCATGTAAGAGGGCTGCATTATTTGTATTTACCCAAAAAACCCCAACAACAAAAAGACTAGTTTTTAAAAAATCAATTTCTAGAAACTTGTTTCTGAGCTTTGCCAGAGAACGTGTGGACATTGGGGGTATCCATGAAAAGCCATCCATGGATGTGCCACCCTTCAAGCCAAACCTCCCCTCCATGGCCAGTCCATACTGGCCTGTGTGCTCACCAACAACACTGTATTGGGTTGAAGATCCCTTCTCTGAGGTCTCTTCTAGCTTCAAGTGTCTGAAATTTCTAAGTAAAAACATAAAAGCACCTCTAATGCTAGGGTTTATTTCTCAGGGATGGCGGGGGAGGTAAATAAATCCTCTGAAGTGTGATGTGAGTTTCATGCACTACCCTCAGTTCTAATCCAGTGGGAAGGTTTCCGTTCAAGGCGAGGAAGAACCTGTGGGCAAAGACCCAAACCTGCACCACACAAAACCTTCTCGGAGAGTCCTTCCTTTCTCGCCCTAGATTTAGACGTTGAGGCCACAGTAGTTAAGATGCAATGGCGTGGGGAGCACCTGGCTGGCTCAGTGGTTAAGCGTCTGCCTTCAGCTCAGGTCATTATCCCGAAGCCCCGGGATCAAGTCCCACATCAGGCTCCCCGCAGGAAACCTGCTTCTCCCTCTGCCTATGTTTCTGCTTCTGTGGGTCTCTCATGAATAAATAAAATCTTTAAAAAAATAATGTTGTGGTTTTTTTTGTTTTGTTTTGTTTTGTTTTGTTTTTTTAAAAGATGCAATGGCGTGGCAGCTCTTCATGCTCCATGTGCTTCATCCAGCAGCCCAAGTGGGCACTCAGGCCAGTGCCCCTGATAGTCACTGAGGTAAATAATGATCGGTGGCCCTTGTCCTTGACTACAATCTAAAGCATGCTCAGTGCCGACTACTGATTTTTTACTGCAGCAGAAATTCAAGGTCAATTCTGGTCTCTCCCTCCAAGTCAAGTGTTCTGTACTTGTTGTGCTGTGACACACCCACTGTAGGAGGCATCATTAAAAGCCGCTCAGACTCACATGTGGGCACACCAGGATCTGCTTATGTACACCTGCTGCTGCCTTCTGGTTGCTCTTGCGAGGCCTCCAAGGGTCAGGACCATGTTGGGCATTTCATCTAGAGCATAGGCAGGGCTGCTGACAGTTGCTGAGACTGTTTGCACACAGCAGGAAGAGGATGTGCCCAGGGCTGGCACACCAAGCCAAGGCCCTGCCTGCCTGGGGTCACACTGGTCCTTACAGACAATGAGAACCATACAGCCATCCTGATCACTTGGCCAGGGGCCTCTGTCCAAGAGCCTGACCTCAGGAGATGCTACAGATCAAGTGACCACCTCCCAGCTGGAACTACTTCTGAAACAGGGACCCACCAGAGACACCACCCACACCGCAAGCTTCTCAGGAAATTGCACATGGCTGGCTCACTGACCATGACCCAGTTCCCTGAACTTCAAAACACTGGTCAAAGGTTAAGGAAGGAGCACCAACCATGAAGCTGTGGCTTTACCTCGTGCTTCAAACAACTCATTCTGAGGTTCTTTAGCACTTTCAGCTTCTTCGTCTGACTTGAGACTCTGGGAAAAAAAAAAGAGAAAAATGAATTCCCCAGAGTATGCGGCAGTGACTAGAGAGCTCCAAGAACAGACAGCAGGGTATGTTTTGGGACTGGGTAGGGACTGAGGAAGAGGAACAACAGTGGGTAAGATGCAGCTCCAGGGAAAGCCCACACCTGCAGGTGGCCTCTGCACCCCCGCTGAGGGCCCTGGCATAGAGCTGTTCCCTCTCACAGACCAAACACCACAGTACAGAAACAGGGACATGTGGGGACGCCTGGGTGGCTCAGTGGTTGAGTGTCTGCCTTCGACTCAGGGCATGATCCCAGGGTCCCAGGATTGAGCCCCGCATCAGGCTCCCCATGGGGAGCCCGCTTTTCCCTCTGCCTCTGTCTCTGCTTCTCTATGTCTGGCATGAATAAATTTTAAAAACCTTAAAAAACAAACAAACAGGGACATGTGAGGCTCCTCCACATAAACTAAGTCATCAGTAGTTCACACAAAAACACAATCCAGCACTTGTACCCTAATAGGAGAGAAAAAGACTTCCCAGTAAACATCTCTTTGTGATGCTGGCTTTAGACACCAGCACTGGAGACGAGTGGCTGTGGAGCAGTCAACCTTCCATCACACGACATCATCTTGACTCAACTTAATGATCCTCCCCTCTCTGCACCCCGTCCCTTACCAGTTCAGCAAACAGCTGGATGGACAGTGGTTTTCTCTGTCCCTCCAAGAGCTCCAGAGACAGCATGCATAACAAGCAGCTGCCACCTCAGGGCCCTTTGCCAGCTGTACCCTGCAGAGGGCAGGCCACCAAGAAACACTTGACTCAAGCAAAAACCTCGTGGTTTTGTGGTCACGTCAGCCAACTACAAAGTCAAAGTCTGCTTCTGACAGAAGCTGCGTATTCCATGACTAATTCTGGAAGGAATGCCAAGTTGACCAAGACTCAGTGCCCTTCATAGCCAGTACTGAAGTGAGAATAGAATCTGGAAGTGGTGCTACATCCCATTTTTCTAATGCATTCAGCCCAAATGACAACCCTAAAAACAGCATTTTTCCCATGTTGTAGTTCCAGGGATCAAAGATGGTTTTATTTTTTTTTAATTTTTATTTATTTTATGATAGTCACACAGAGAGAGAGAGAGAGAGAAAGAGGCAGAGACATAGGCAGAGGGAGAAGCAGGCTCCATGCACCGGGAGCCCGACGTGGGACTCGATCTGGGGTCTCCAGAATCGCACCCTGGGCCAAAGGCAGGCGCCAAACCGCTGCGCCACCCAGGGATCCCAAAGATGGTTTTAATAAGCAAAACAGTACTACAGAGACAGAGCAGAGTCCTCAGATCTCCATCTCTGAGGACCAAAGTTAAAGAGGATAAAAAAGTGAACACCTGGGGTTTGTCATCTAGACATAGAGCATCCCTGAACCAAGGGACTCTAGGATATAAGTAGGTGTGATTGCCTCACCAAATGTTGAACATACACAGATTAATGTGAGAGGCCCAGAGCTGTCCTATTGAAAAGAAGTCCCCATGAGAAAGTCCTACCTGATAAAGTAGACATCACAGAGAGAGCAGGAACCTTCTGGAATTCCTGAAAACTAGGTCTAAGGAATCCATGGTTAACTTGAAAACTGTGGATCTGCCCCATGGATATTTCCTGACGTAAAGGCTGTCAGGCTCCAGCAGCCCGTCTCTGGGGTCAGTCTCAGCAGCAGTGAACAACTGAGGACACAGACCCCTGGTATCCTCCCCCAAGGCCCCAGGAGCTGTCTGGCACATCTTTGCCAAATTCTAAGTGTGTGGGCCTTGGTATGTTCTAAGTATTCAAGGCAAGTAGGACTGTGGGCTTGGTACTTCCCAACTCCTAACCTTGCAGGGGCATCTTCCCTTTCCCTCACTCCCATGAAACCATGAAACCAGTCTTCTCGCCGTGCTGGGGGAAGCTGATGGTGGTAAGCAGGGGAGGGAAAGAAACAAGTGATTTGGACACAAATTCTCCACTGCCCCAATGTCTGAAGGAGTATACCCACTGGCCAGAATTTCCCGCAGATAATCAGACCCAGAGATACTTTAGAACAAAATGTCATTCCCCAAAATGTACCCATGCTTCTGGTGACTTGAGATGCCTAGGAATGCCCACCTGCCCCTTACATCCTCTTGTAGTCATGTCACAACGACTAAGCAAAACGGTGACCTGGAGTCAGAAAGGGGAACCTGACCCACCTCCACACTTTCCAGGGATGCAGAGCGATGGAGCGGGCCTCTCCTGCTGGTCCAGGGCTGCTGTTCTGGTAAACATTTGACTCCTGTTGCAGAGCCACATGGCTTGGGCTCGGGCCGGCTCCAGCGACCATACCACTTAGAGCCGCTCACATACTTTGGCGGGACAGCACGAGAAGCAGCTGGAAAGAAAATGGGAGGTTTGGTGGGGAGGTCCGAGCATGCTGTGGCAACTCATTTCAAGATGCAGAGTGCGCCTCTTACAGATGCACACAGAGAATGTCTGGAAGAACACAGAGAACAGTTACCAGTGGTCAATCTCTTCTCCCTAATCCTCAGACAGGGGACTGAGAAACCCAGGCTGGGAGACAGGGACTTTCTACTCTAAATCTATGTGCCATTCAAATTTTTTTCAGCATATTTAGCTTTGGTTTAGGTAATAAAAGACTACTACTAATACAAAAAGACTAGTTTATATTATAAAAGACTAATATTAATAGATTTTAATGCAAAGAAAAAATCCTCCAATAATCCAGCAACATACTGCTCTAGAGAACAGAAGGTCACTTCCCATCCTGCTCACTTCAGGACCCCATCTGGACAGGATGTCAGGGCAGTTTGGGCGTGGACCTCACACACAGTCCAGGAGGCTCAAACTTGGCAGGTCTGAAGTCTGGGGCAGAGAGGCAGGTATGGGTTTTAGTCCGGGATTCACAAGAATCCCTTAAACCTTAACAGCCCCGTGTACTTCCTTCTTCCCTCCTTACCTATCCACTCCTGGACAGAGCCCACGGGGACCTCTCAGGTAGAGAAGAAATGACATTGTCTCTGTGTGCAATGTGGGTGGGTGGGAGAGAGACTGGGGAGAGCCTTGTAGGCAGAGGCCAGGACAAGACACAGGTTCAGAGGGAAATAACCAGAATAGGCAGCTTGGAGAGAAAGGCATAGGGTCCAATGAAGCAAGGCCAGTCTGGGGAAATTGAGAGGCACTGCACTGAGGGGTACCATGCTCCATCAGGCTGAGTACCACATCATTCCTTTCTTTCCTGCCCCAAACGGTCAGGCCATAGCCCCTGCCCTTGGAGCCACAACAGAGGAGGAGGCCGGGTTCAGCTTGGCCAACTGGAAGCACAGTAATGCCAGTGACAGACAGACACTGGGGTCAATGGAGGAGTATGCCAAGTTCCACATGGATGTACAGACGGTGACGGCTGACAACATGCAGGGTGAATATAGCCCTTTTCTCACCTCACTGGGACACTCAGAGGTAATCATGGACACTATACTGATCTCCCTGGGGCAACAGGCATCGGATGTGCTCTAGAGGAGAGCAAAGTGTCCAAGTCAGCAGATGGAAAACAGGACAACCTGTAAGCACACCCAGCAGCATTCAGAAGAGGAAAGTACAAACACAGCAAGAGGCTCCCACCAGACAGCTGCCAAAGGGCAAGTGAAGCCCAGTGAGTACAGGCTCTGATCTGAGCATGCTTTCTGCTTACAGAGAGGCTGCAGGCCAGTGAATGTGGGTGGGGGAAGAATCTTCCTTCCACCTAGAGGTGCTTTAGGAAGAGGGAAAGGGGGATCCCTGGGTGGTGCAGCGGTTTGGCGCCTGCCTTTGGCCCAGGGCGCGATCCTGGGGACTCGGGATCGAATCCCACATCAGGCTCCCGGTGCATGGAGCCTGCTTCTCCCTCTGCCTGTGTCTCTGCCTCTCTCTCTCTCTCTCTCTCTCTCTCTCTCTCTCTGTGACTATCATAAAAAAAAAAAAAAAAAAAAGAAGAAGAAGAAGAGGGAAAGGCCTATCAGGCAGGAAGTGGGAAGCCGGCAAGCATTTAGGAAACCAAGTACTGAAAACTCAGAGGGGCTCTGATGGCCTTAAGCTGGCAGGAGGGAGGAGTCTCAGGCCACACATCCGGCCATTTAATTAAGGAAAGCTTTGAAATCCAAAAGAAAAGAAAAAGCCAAAGAAAATTAAAAAGAATACAATTGGTGGGGAAAAAAACACAATTCCTGGAATAGCTCCTTGTCTCTTTGGAAGCTCTTTGTCTCAGTGCATGTCCACAGATCCAGTTTTAAGTGTAGAAGTTCCATGCATTCTCTAGCATGGAGGGGGCATGTACAGTGTCAGCCACCACCACCTTTCCATTCCTGTACATAATCACGGGCCACATTCCCAAATCCTGTGTTACTAAAGGTGAGTGGTGCTCTTCATTTCTTAAAGAAGAAAAGTGTCAGACAAAGCAACCAGTGAATGCCCCAAGGGTCCTGTAAATGGTTCCCACCCCTGGTATGCTCCTCCCACAGCAGGGCTCTCTGCCCTATACCCAGATACTTGGCAACCTACAGCAGCCAGTGGAAGGAGCGGGTTCTAACAGGGGCTCGGGGCTTACAACTGGAAAATTGTGACTCAAATCTTGGTCATCACTTACTAGCTGTGGGATCTTGGACAAATAAATCCCTTCACATATCAGGCCTCAGTTCCTCATCTAAATAATGGGTATGATATAACGCCACAGATGGCTGGGAGATTGGCACATTGAAGACAATCAATGTGAGCTCTCATCCTTTTCACTTTCCACTCCTCTGCCTCAAGCCCTCCCACAGTTATCCCAGTCATCGTCACACACCTGCTCCAGAACAAGATCTGCGTGGCAAGAGCCTGCTATGGGGCTGAGGAAAGGAGCACCCTCCTCGATCTGCTCATCAATACCATACCTCCAACCTCAGACCCACTGCCCCAGGCCCCATGTCACTTACCCGGAGATAGCCAGCCAAGATGGGTCTGAACCATGTCACTCACAGCCTCAAGTCTCACGGAGCAGTCACTAATGACAAAGTCTATCAGCATCTTCTGACCCTCACCCCAAAATCTACATGCTCTCCAAACCCTCCCTCCACCTCCTGACCATTACTGAAGCCAGGGGGCAATGCCCTCAGGACGCCACTTCCCCTGGAAGATGCTATGTTTGTCCCACCAGCTTCACTCCGGTAAGAGTGAAGAGTGGCCCAATGAGACCAATACAGCACAATACAACATCACCATCTGACAGAAGATACAGTGGGGTCTGTCTCTGGCTGGCGATATCCTACTAACCTCAGTGGTCTAGATACACCTGTGTCTGCACTGTGCTTTCAATTCCTAAAACTTCAGCTGCTCTACATCAATTTTATCTTGTCAACAGTGCATGCTGCAAGGACAGCACATAGTATTATTTGACACTTAGGATACTGTAATTTATAATAAATATATATTTGGTCTTTATCTCATCCCTGGGCCAGTGATCCTAGAACCCTTGAAATTTCCTAAGTGACAAGAGCACCAAACCTGAGTTTATGTTAATGAAGTGACTTCTGGAAAGCTCTTAAGGATGGGGGCTGGGTGCCCAGGGACCTAACCATGTGATTAGTGGGTTAGAACCTATAGCGCCATTCTGACCTCTGGGGAAAGCGGAAAGGCTGGAGATTGAGTTCAATCACCAAGAGCCAATGATTTGATCAGTCATGCCTACGTAATGGAAGCCTGCATAAAAACCTAACAGGACAGGGTTCAGAGAGCTTCTAGGGTGAACACAGAGAGATTGGGGGAGAGTGGCAAGCCTGGAGAGGGCACGGAAGCTCTGCACCTTTCCCCATACATTGCCCTGTGGCCCTCTTCCACCTGGCTGTTTCTGAGTTACAACCTTTTATAATCAACTGGTGATATGCATAAACTGTTTTCCTTAGTTCTAGGATCTCCTCCTGCAAATTCATTGAACCTCAGAAAGGGGCTATGGCACCTCTGATTCATAGCCAGTCAGAAGCATAGGTGACAACCTGGACCCATGACTGGCATCTGACATGAGGACCATATTGTGGGACTGAGCCCTTAGCCAGTGGAATCTGAGGCCAGCTCCAGGTAGGCAATGTCAGGACTGAGCTACAGTGGAGGACACCCAGATGGTGCTGGAGACTTGCCTGCTGTGCAAAGACTGACACATTTGGTCACCAGAAGTGCCAGCAGTATGCAGGGCACAGAGTGTAAAGGAAAACAACAGAGCTTCTCCTTTCCAACACTAGTGTACAAATAAGGAAATAAAGAAGAAGAAACCCAATGTCTTGTCCCAGTCCACATAGGTGGGCAGTAAGGGAACGAAGTTATAATTTCATTCTCAGACCTGCTACATTCTTCAATCTGAATATCACACTCCAGAAGATAACAGAAAAATAATGAAACAAACACTTGAGGTGAGCAAGGAAATCCTTACTTGATTCCAAAGAACTACTGTCTTCGTCTGAGGGGCCAGCACCAGCATTTGATGACAGCAATGCCACAAAACCTTCCTTAAATTCCTCAAAGTTAACCTGGTGAATGTAAGAAAAGAGAGGTCAACACTACTTTCAACAGATCACATATATAAATACCTTAGCCTTCTGTTTTTATTTTCAGATGGAAACATCTTATTAGAAATGTGTGGGAAATATCAGAAAGGGAGACAGAGCATAAAGACTCCTAACTCTGGGAAATGAACTAGGGGTGGTGGAAGGGGAGGAGGGCGGGGGGTGGGGGTGAATGGGTGACGGGCACTGAGGGGGACACTTGACGGGATGAGCACTGGGTGTTATTCTGTATGTTGGTAAATTGAACACCAATAAAATTAATTTATTAAAAAAAAAAGGAAACATCTTATTGTTGCCTTTCCTGCTGAGCATATTCATTTTGTTTTTTCTAATATCACTTAAGATTTTTTTTACATAGAAGACTGTAGTAAGAAAAGTAAAAGTGAGTCACAAACTAATCACCAAAAAACCCTATTACCAATTTTAATAATTAGAAAATAGTAACCAAAAGGGGGAGCTGATGATCATAAAACATTAATATACATAAAGAAAATATTCAGGCTATCACCACCCCACCAAGAAATGGAATACTGCCAGCACCTTAGAGGCTCCTCTACCATGGCTCGTTTCCTAATTAAATCCCCTGCCCCCCTACTCTGACTTTTACAGTATTAACATCTTTGCTTTTTTTTTTTTTTTTTATAAATTAATTTTTATTGGTGTTCAATTTACCAACATACAGAATAACACCCAGTGCTCATCCCGTCAAGTGTCCCCTTCCGTGCCCGTCACCCATTCACCCCCACCCCCCGCCCTCCTCCCCTTCCACCACCCCTAGTTCATTTCCCAGAGTTAGAAGTCTTTATGTTCTGTGTCCCTTTCTGATATCTCCCACACATTTCTTCTCCCTTCCCTTATATTCCCCTTCACTATTATTCATATTCCCCAAATAAGTGAGAACATACACTGTTTGTCCTTCTCCGATTGACTTACTTCACTCAGCATAATACCCTCCAGTTCCATCCACGTTGAAGCAAATGGTGGGTATTTGTTGTTTCTAATGGCTGAGTAATATTCCATTGTAAACATCTTTGCTTTTATATCTCATTTGTAGGCATCCCTGATGAATATGGTTTAGTTTTACCTCTTTTCAAATTTGATCTAAATGGAATCCTATGTATATATTTTTATATCCTGCTTCTTAGACTCAGTATTACTTCTGTAATATTCATTCAAGCTGCCATGAATAATGCATTTTCCCTGCTGTATACTATTCCATCATTTACCTGTGCAAAAATTCATTAATCCATTCTCCTACTGATGGATATTCCCATTGTTTCCAGTGGCTGGCTCAAAGCAGGGAGCCCAAAGCAGGGCTTTATCAGGACTCTGGGATCATAACTTGAGCCAAATGCAGACACTCAACCAACTGAATCAGCCAGGCATCCCAAAAGCTTTAACTATTTAGTCTACTGACATTTAATATAATTACTGATATATTTGGACTTAAATCTACTATTCTATTGTACACTTTCAATTGGACTTGCTTGTGTTTTTCTCCCTGGTTTCCTCTCTTTGGGTTTACTTTTTTTTGTTTTGTTTTGTTTTTTAGGACTTCATCTTCCTATTACTAAGTGAGAAATTATGTTGTCTATTTCCTTTCTCTGGCTTATCCTAAAAACTACAATGCATATCCTCAGCTTATCAAAGTTTACTATTAGTCAATACTTTTTTACCCTCTTCCGTGAGAACTCAAAGCCTATGTAACACTTTCATTTCATTTACTATGCTCCCGATTTTCATATATTGTCATATATTTTAACTCACTCTATTTTAAACCCATACAAAATATTATATATTTTATATAAATCAATGTTCATTGAGAATTATTCAAATACTTACTGCTTTTTCATTTGTTCTTATATTTCTGACCTTCTGCCTAGGATAATTTTCTATTTGAAGTACATCTTTTAGAATTTCATTTTTCTTAAGTATGCTGGTGCTAAATTCTTTTTAGTTTGAGTATCTGAAATGTTTTTACTTCACTCTCAATAAACTTTTTTCAAGCAGATAAACAAGACACATTAGAAGAATAGTGGAGGGGCCACCTGGGTGGCTCAGTCAGTTGGGCATCTGCCTTGGGCTCAGGTTGGGATCCCAGGGTTCTGAGATCAAGCCCCACATTGGGCTCCCTGCTGGGAGGAAGCCTGCTTCTCCCTCTATCCCTTGCTAGTGCTCTCTCTTGCTATCTCTCTCTCTCTAAATAAATAATCTTAAAAAAAAAAAAAAAGAATGGGGAAATGACCAAGATGTCCATAAATAGAATGGCTAAATAAATGATAATATAGTCAGACAATGAAATATGATGATGGAAAAAAAAACACCGAGAGACAAGGTGAAGTGTATTTCACAGATAGGTTGAGTAAAGGAAGTCAGAGAGTATGTACTGAGCAGGTACTGTGTATTTCCATTCTATAAAGATCAGAAACAGGCAAAACAAATCTATAGTGTTAGTGTCAGGACAGCGGTAGCCTTAGAGACAGAGGGACTGCAAGGCACATGGGGGGGGATTAAGGATGCTGGTTACCCAGATGTGCTCTGTATGGGATAGTCACTGAGCATACACTTCTGATACATGCTCTTTTCTTTATGGATTCTTCAGTAAACGTCATGCAGAAAAAAGTCAACAAGAGGGCTTAGATGGGTCAAAAGGTCACCAGGAAATGCTAGAAAAGCATGTTTGGGGCTGTAGGTCCAAGCATGCTTCTCAAATCTGGCACAGAATTTGAATGAGCAAACCTTTGTTGCTGCCACTGAGCACTAAATGCAGCTGTTTGTCTGGGATACACATATTATCATGACCTGACATTGGATTATTTGTGCATTTGTTTATATTTTTCTTCCCAATTAGCATGTGATGCCACTGCTGGCAAACAGTAAATACTCAACAGACACTTATTGGATGTCTTGGCCTCTGTATCTTTTCATAACTGAGCAGAATTCATCTTCTTGCAGATGCAGTCTTTCACCTTTACTCTTAAAGGATCTTTTTGCTGAGCATGGAATTCAGGTTGGCAGATGTTTTTCTATTAGCACACTGGAGATACTTTCCACTAGTTTCTGGCTTGTACTGTTACATCTGAGGAAGTAGCTATCAATGTAGGGCTCATTTTCAGGACACATCTATTTTCATAGGACACCTTTTAAACATTAAACTTTCCATTTTGAGATAATTATAGATTCACACACAGCTGTAGGAAAAATGCAGGGATCTTGTATACCCATCTCTGGCTGCTTTTCTGATGATCTCTCTAGGTTCACTTTCAGTTTCACAATAATATGGCCAGGTGTAGATTTCTTTGTATTTCCGCTACTTGGAATTCAGCAGGCTTTGGCAATCCCAAATCTGTTCTACAAATTTTTTTAGCTATTCATAAAGCCCTACCCCCCATTCACTTCTTTCTTCCTAGGATTCCAAATAAAGAGATGTTGGAAGGTTGAACCTTCTCACTCTTCCTTCTGTTATATTTTCATGCTACATTCTGGATAATTCCAGTTAATGAATGCTCTCCTTTGCTGTGTCTAATTTGCCTACTAAAGAACTATTAAATTCTTACATTAGGTTTTGATTTTGGCAATCACACTTTTCAGTTCTTAAAGTTTTATTTGGTTCTTTGTTCAGATTTGTTATATCACTTTTTAGAGTTCCCTCTTTCCTATAGGTATGTTCAAGCTTTTAAAAAGAATCTCTCCTCACATGGTTAGTAACCACAATTTTTATATTTTGTTTACAGTAATCCCAGCACCTTGCAAGCTGTGTGCATCTGCTTCTGTTGCCTGTTGTTTCTCCTGGTTCTTGCTCATCCTAACTTATTTGTGTGCTAGTTATCCTTGACTGTATGCTGCTTATTGTATTTAAATATAACATGGGAACAATTACAGATCTTGAATAATGGCATTTCTCAAGAGAGGACTTTTATTTGCTTTTGCCAGATGCTTGACGGTACCACCTGGGCAGGACCACCTTCAGCTAAGTGAGGTTCATCTAGACCACTGAGAGGATACAAGCTCAGGCAGTAAAAGGCACAATGGCTGATTCCTATCATCCCTTAAATTGGGGGCTAATTTATCAGATTCTCTACCTTGGGTGAACCTGGGTTTTGACACAGATTTTCCTGGCCCTCTAAGATCCCAAAGACCACATCAATTTCACGGTTTTTCGGCACAAATGGGGTTTTGTTCGCTGAGCTGAACCTCTCTCAGTGTGTGATTTATCAGATTTTTAGGCTGGTAATTCCTTACTGACTTATTTGTGCTTTGCCATTTTCAGATCTTTGTTTTTATGATTTTGTTCAGCTTTTTTAGTAGCCCTCACTGGAAGGTTGGCCTGAGTTTGCTAACTTGCCACTACCAAGGATGTCTGAAGCCTTCTTACTTTTCTAGGACTGGATAAATTTCATCAGAGAGATCTATCAGAATATATTTAACCAATCTCATATTGAAAATGCTGTTTCTAAAAAAAAAAAAAAAGAAAAAAAAAAAAGAAAATGCTGTTTCTGGGATCCCTGGATGGCTCAGCAGTTTCGTGCCTGCCTTCGGCCTGGACCCATATCAGGCTCCCTGAATGGAGCTTACTTCTCCCTCTGCCTCTGTCTCTGTCTCTCTCTCTCATGAATAAATAAAGAAAATCTTTAAAAAAATAAAATAAAATGCTGTTTCTAATCTTTTGCTACTTGAATCAATGCTGTCTTGAATATGTTTCATTTCATATGAAGACAGACATTATATTTTTTGATTATCACATTCCTAGCTTCTGCATATTACCCAGCACATACTAAGTGCTTAAAAATACTTGTCAAATACATGGAAGCAAAATGAAATGACAATTTTGCTTGATCTAATCTTTTGTGTCTTTGATAACACTTAACAGTTGACTTTCTTCCAACCATCGAATAGTAGTGGTATCTGATGGCCAAGTGTGTTGCCATTTTATCTGGTATTATTCTCACTGAGCTTGTGTTTCTGTGTTTTCTTCCTTCATAGTTCAAGAAAAGGGGAAGAACAAACCCACAGGACTCAGGTGCTTCACCAAAAAGGACACACCATTATCTCTGTATAATCTTGTACTCACTTATCACAAATAAAGAGGCTAGACCCTGCGATTGAGAATCACTTTCAACTTTAAAATTATTTTCAGTAGCACTAATGTTAATAATTATTTTTTCAAGTATATGCACCTCTATATTTATTCCAACATTATTTACAACAGCAAAGATACAGAAGCAGCCCAAGTGTCAACAAATGAACGGATAAGGGAAACGTGCATAGATACACAAAGGAATAGTGCTCAGTCATAAGAAAGGATGAAATATATTTATCTGTGACAACATGGATGAACAAGAGGGTATCCTGCTAAATGAAATAAGTCACAAAAAGACAAATGCCATACGATTTCATTTATAGTCATCTAAAAACATAGAATCTAAAAAATAAAACAAATGAAAAAACAAAAAGCAAAAACAGACCCATAAATATAGAGAACAAATTGACTGATAGTTGCCAAAGGGGAAGGTAATGGGAGATGGGCAAAATGTTGAAGGGGAGTGGGAAATATAGGCTTCCAGTTATGGAATAAGAAGTCACGAGGATAAAAGTCACAGCATAGAGAATAGAGTCGATGATACTGTAGTAATGTATGGTGACAGATGGTAGCCATGCCCATGGTGAGCATAGCATAACATATACACCTGTCCAATTACTACCTTGTGCACCTAAAACTAATGCAACATTGTATGTCAACTATTTCAATTTAAAAAATAATTATTCTTTGAGAGTAAAATTCTCTTTCTGACCAAATTTAAAAAACTAAAGATCCTTGCCACTGATCATAACACAGAATTCAATGGAAATTTCCCACACTCCACAGAAATCTTAGGCCACATTAATTTCTAGCTTGAAACCAGATCTTGATAATGTTTCTTTAACAGGAAATATGAATTAAAAATGAGCATACCCTCAACACCTTAAAACATTACCTTTTAATTCAAATTATTATTATTTATAATATTGTTCTTCATTTTTATAACTGAAGTATCAATGACTAACATTTACATGGTGTCATATATGTTAGTTACTACAAGGAAACTGGAAATGTGCTATTTGAACTAAACAGCCAATCAATTCTCCAGGAAAAAGGATTTCTCTTGATTTTCTTTGAAAAATACCTGAAATCTCCACTATTTGGTTTCTGTTGTAGAAAATGGTGACAACTATCTAGATATTTCTGGCTTGACAGCAACTTCCTTTAAAACCTCTACAGAACATTTCATGTAAATACTGGCTGTGTGAGCCCTGTCCTGTCTATAGGACGAAGCAGAGAAGCAATAGAAGCTCTGAAAGCAGAACTAATCCACCATCATCACCATGGTGGGACCCAACAGGCGTTGGCTGGTGCAGGCTCTGCTCTTAAAATGTTACAGAGGGGGAAGTAGGGACAACTTCAGGTCAGGCTTAAGAGCACTATCAGAAGCAGAGCTATTTTTTTAATTTACCCAACACATGACATGCTTTTTGGAAACAGAAATCATGGCTGTAAGAGGGTTGGGACAGACAGAAAGACGAACGAACATGCACAGGGTTTTGCCAGAAGCCACCGTTCATCAGAGAAGGTCAGGCTCCTGCCATAGCTTATGAGTGAGAGTCTCTCCTTCTAACATATTTCCCTATAAATGTGTGGAGAAACCTCCAGCCTCCCACAAGGATTACAATTCAGAGGAACTGCTTTTCAGGATACATGTGATGTGGGGGAAGCCAGAAATCTCAAACCCAAGTTCATTTTTCTCTTTACTGATGTTCCAGTATGAACCTTTTTCTTCCTATCATAATTTGCTGTTTCTAAATGTTATAGCACTTCTACACATACAAAGGGTAAAGTGGGGTGAGACTCAGGAATGATATGATCTGTTCAGTCAGCAGAACCTGCCATCTGAATGTGAATCCAAGTTATTCTTTTGGTTTTGAATTTTCTAAACTGTCAGGAATAATCAAGAAAACCAGATCATCTGTTATACTGCTTGAATAACCAGAGCACTGATTTTCACAAATGTGCCTTTTGTTCCTCTAGGTCCCAAATACAATCCCAGGTGATATCAAGACAGGCCACATCATATCAGGGTGCCTGGGTGGCTCAGCGATTTGGGTGTTCATCTCTTGATTCCGGCTCACGTCATGATCTCCGGGTCATGAGACAGGGCTCTGTCAGGAGTCTGTGCTCAGCATGGAGTCTGCCTGTACCTCCCCCCTGCTCCTCCCCCTACTCACACACTCACAAATATATAAAAATAAAATCTTAAAAAAAAAAAAGAGGGGCTCCAATATTATCGAAAATACACCTGATTCGGGGCTCCTGGGTGGCACTGTCGGGTAAGTGGCCAACTCTTGGTTTCTCCTCAGATCCTGATCTCAGGGTCATGAGATCAAGCCCTGCATCAGCTCTGTGCCCAGCACAGAGTCTGCTTGACTCTCTCTCTCCCTCTCCCTCTGCTCCTCCCCCCAAATAAATAAATCTCTAAAAAAAAAAAAAAAGAAAAGAAAAGAAAATACACCTGAATCTTAAATCCATTTAAAAAAAATCAGGAATAGAATAAAAAGAAACAGAGAAAGGGTGTGGCCAGATTAACTGAGGCAGAGCTCCCGAAGAGGGAGTAACGGTATCCTACTGACAGTCATGGGGAACACAGGACAGTCGGTGCTCTGGGAAGTGACAAGAGGTACATTTCATCTGGACTGCCAGCAGTGAGAGTTTTTTTCTTGTTTCTCTTCATTTGTTTTTCCAAGACAAACAAGAGCCACTTCAGGAAAATCTGCAGTCTGGGTTTTTAAAATAATTTTATTGATTTCTATGGAATGAAATGCTCTTTCTTCAAAGTTAAGATGACCAACACTGGGGACGCCTGGGTGGCTCAATGGTTGGGCGTCTGCTTTCAGCCCAGGGTGTGATCGCAGAGTCCTGGGATCAAGTTCTGCTTCAGGCTCCTTGCATGGAGCCTGCTTCTCCTCCTTCTGCCTGTGTCTGTGCCACTCTCTGTCTTTCATGAATGAGTAAATAAAAATCTTTAAAAAAAAAAAAAAGATGACCAACAGTGTTTTTATCACCAACAGGTTAACATCTAGAACATTTAAGAAGTAGGGACAAGGTGGGAGGTGCTTTTTAATGTTTCCATCAGGAAAGCACGTTGTGGTCTAGGTTCTAGATCACCATTCTAGATGACCTTCAATTCCTAAAAAAAGTATCTGTTATAGAATGATCAGAAAAAAAAGATAAATATAAAACAGAGAACTAAAACCATCCAAAGCTTCACTACCTAAAAGAATAATTATGAATATTTTAGCAAATATACATCCTAATCTTTCTCTATACATATACAAGTATGGCAGGAAAGGAGCAAAAACAGTACTTTCTATCTGGTCTAGATGAAATCACGGGACACCTATGGACACAGGTATCCTTTCCTCCTGCAACAATGCTGTGCAGCTGTTGTCAGGTGCTAGAACGAATTCCAAGCTATGCAATTTTACCAAACAGTCTGCCCTCAAAGTACCTAGAGAGGTTGCCTGTCTCTCAGTGACCCAGGTGTCAACTGCCCACAGATTCTTGTGTTTTTGTGAACCACATGCCACCCACCCACACTAACCTGCCACCCCATCCCTGACGCCCAACAAATCACACAAATGACTTTCTGGGAAAACCAAACCAAACCTCTGGGATTTACTATGCCTCAAAACAAAATCATCTGAAAGAGACTCTTGCTTCAACATAGGAGTTCCCCAGAAGGAAAAGCCATGTTCCGGTTCCTCGTAACACTCCTTTGGCATGTGTCTTTAGTCAACTGATACTTCCCAAGTGCTTGCAGCTAACTATTGTACTCTGTGCTTTTCTTTACAAGAATGAAGTCAAATACCCACCCTGGCAAAGTGGTCATTTCCAAGAAGTGTTTGCAGAAGGATGGGCAGCTGCTTTTCCAGATGAAGCTTAAGGCAGAGCTGGGTCAGTTCCTCCCGGTCCAGAAAGCCCGTCCCCGTGCTGTCACAGCTGCTGTACACTTCCCTGAGCTGCGAAACATAGTGGTTCTCTTCTTCTTTGTCCATCCCATAGCAAGCTGGACATGCCAGGGGAAAAAAGAAACAAGAGTACACTCAAATTGCCACACCTCAAACATTCTTCCACTGCTTTGATAAGCCCCAGCAGGGTGGGACAGGCGCAGGACAAGCACTGGGCACGTGGGTGCTCTCTTTTGTAGGAGAGCCCAGAAGCATGTGACCAGGGAGACAGTCAGAAAAGCCAGAATTTCTTGGTTCTGTAAGAAAGTATCTATTATAGGGGCACCTGGGTGGCTCGATGGTTAAGCATTCGATTCTTGATTTCAACTCGGGTCATGATCTCGGGGTCATGGGATCGAGCCCCACATCAGGTACCCTGCTCATTGAGGAGTCTGCTTTTACCTCTGCCCCTCCCCCACCCCCTCTTTTAAATAAATAAATCTTTTTAAAAACTAAAAAATATCTATTATAGAATAATCAGTAAAAAGAGATAAATATAAAATAGAGAACTAAAATAATCCAAAGGTTCACTACCTAAAAGAATAACCATGAATATTTTGGCAAATATACATTCTAATTTTTCTCTATACATATACAAGTATAGCATTTTTCCCTTCCTAGTATTCAGTTACAAATACTAAAAAGGAAAAATGTTAATAAGTTTTGCCAAATAAAAGTACTTATAATAAAAAATATGAGAACTCCAATAAAATATACAGAGTATGTTAATTAATCACAAAAGAAGAAAGATATATGGTTAATAACCATCTAAAAATGTTCAAATTAAAACAAAGATACCATTTGTCACTGTGAAATTATCAAGAGTAACCCCCCCCCATGCTAGCTTAAGCTGTCATACGAAGGGGGCTCTCACATATTGCTGGAGAAAATGACACGTAAACGTCTTTCAGACATTCCCAACTTGTCACACTTACCAAGAAATTTTCAAACAATTGTATTATCTGATCTACTTATTTCATGCACACAAAATTCCTTACAGAAATTCCTTATACTTCAGGAAACGGAGCTATGGACAAAGACATAAGAAAAATAAAATGTCCAACAAAAGAAAATAGCTTGCTAAGTTACAGCATAATTATATGGCAGAAGATTCAATAGGTTTAAAAAACACATTTTTGAAGAATATTTAACAGCACAGGAAATGCAGTTGATAAAATGTAAAGCCGGGGTACAAACTTTATAATAATAATAGCTAGTATACATCCTAGTCAGTTCACATACAGCAGTTCAACAACAATGGAGAATTCCTGTGGGTCAGCCTGTTATAGACACAGGACCACAGACAACTCTGAAAACAGGAAATATAGTGAGTAAGCAAACATGGAAAATTATCAAGCTCATTAATAATCTAATAATTCATAAACATGAAATAATGAAATAACATCTCTTACTAATAAGAGACAGCACAATAAATGCCAAGTAAATAAAGATATAATCCTTTTTTAAGACAGCGAGCACATAGGTGGGGGGAGAGGGTGGGGGAATCTTCAGCAGGCTCCACACCCAGTGCAGAGTCTGATGTGGGGCTCAATCTTATGACCCTGAGATCATGGCCTGAGCTGCAATCAAGAGTCAGACCCTTAACTAACTAAGACATCCAAGAAAGATATATTTTTTCTTGGTGGTGGTTATTTGTCCACCATCACCCACATGGGTGTGTAGGTTGCCATCAGCACAAAAACTGTATGAGGGGTTGAAATCTGTTCACATTGATCCTCCAACTCCCAGAATATCATCTTACTCGGGAAAACAAAAGAATCAATGACATTTAAAAAGCTTTGAATAGGGATCCCTGGGTGGCGCAGTGGTTTGGCACCTGTCTTTGGCCCGGGGTGCGATCCTGGAGACCTGGGATCGAGTCGAGTCCCACATCAGGCTCCCGGTGCATGGAGCCTGCTTCTCCCTCTGCCTGTGTCTCTGCCTCTCTCTCTCTCTCTCTCTCTCTCTCTGTGACTGTCATAAATAAATAAAAATTAAAAAAAAAAAGCTTTGAATAGAACTGAATAGAATCTAACTTTGAATAGAATGGAATCTTCATTGTGATATTTCAGTGTGGTCTTTTAAGGTCAACTTCCTCCCCTGAGCTCCTGACTGAACACCTGCTGATCAGGTGTAAAGACGACCAGCATCCACTCTGAGGATGCACACACCGGCTCATGGCTTCAGGTTGGACGCAGGAGCAAAAGATAACAAGCCTGCCCTATCCACTCATCATATTTTGCATGCACTTCTCACGTGGAGAAAGGGCAAGGAGAAGTGGAGCTGGGAACACCTGCCCCCATCTCTGGCAGGGATGACAACAGAGACAACATTGAGAAACACAGATACATAGGTAGAAACATGAAGGATAAATCAGAAAACTAAATACCCTTCCTAACTTGACATCTGTCAAGTTTCTCATCCAAGGTGAGTCCCCAACCCAAGTTGGGAGCTGCATCCTTTTGTACACAAGAGCCACCTGTGGTGAGCTTCATACAGGTACTGGTATTTGCCACTGCCAATTTCTGGTACGCCAGAAGTAGATGGACAGAACATAACAGTAAGAAAGACGAGTGGCAAAATTCAGTAGGTGGAAAAGTGTGGAGCAACCCAGGTGAGGAGTGACTAGGGGACCCCCGGCGACTGCAGAACCTACCAGGCCCATACCTCCCTGACACCAATGGTCTCCGCACCCCAAGCTCCTCCTGGTGCCCTGTTCACTAACACCACTCCTCCCTCTCCTCCACCGCCTCTGCCAATCATGAGCAAATCCTCCATTTCTTCTATTTTACCTTTAGTCGTAACCAATTCAAGCAATTAAAAGTATATAAAGAAAAAACAAAGCAAAACAAAACTCCAACCCCATTACCAGAGGTAAGCACTGCTTGGACTCTAGACTCTGAGATTATTCCCAAGTCCATGAGGTGGATGAACACACAGACTTGTGTACATACATAATACACACAGATATGCATGTTTTTACATAAGTGTAACACCATACATATTACTTTAAAACTTTTAAAACATACATGATATCTGACACTATTCCATGCCTTCTTCATTTAAAAAAATACCTATATGCTCTTGCACACATATGTGCAGAGATCTAAGGATTGTTTTAGAAACAGGGGGATGTCTCTAGGGTTTTCTCTTACGAAATCTTTGTGAATCCTGCAGGGGATAAACCAAGCCACGCTCTGTGGAGCACGCCTGGGTGTGCAGGGGTGTCCCTGGAGAAGGCAGGTTTGGCTGATTTTCCCAGCCATAGGCCAGCCCTGCATCCATGCCCCCCCGGGGGGCCAGGCTCTCCCTCCACCACTGGAATTTCAGGTCTCTGTGGAGATGCATGAAGCTTTCCCTCTCTACACAAAAGAGGGAATAAAGTCCCACATCACAGGCCTGAGGTGCCATGGCTGCCCACGGAGGTGTCGCCTGTGCATGCAGGGTGCACAGGTGGTGAAGTCTCCCCAGTGAGATGGGGGTCCGCTGCCTGCCACATCTCAAAGCCTCCCTGAAACAACGACAGGTACAAAGAAATAGGTACTGAGACTGCAGGCACCAGAGAGGCAACAAGACTTAAAAAGAAGGGTGGTGGCTCCTTCCTTATCACCACTCATCTGCAATGTCTCCAGGCCCCACCAAGTCGGGGCTGTCTCTGGAGGCCCATGCTGCTTCTGGCTCATTTACTCTGTGACCACAGATGCACATCTTTTGGGCTGGGTAGGGATTTCCACAAAACAGGAGGGGCTTCCACATGACCAGAAAGACCAAAGAACTAGTGGGCCAGCGGGGCCTGGTCTCAGGAGAGCAGTGCCAACTCATTGGGGCTTCATACGGCATCCCCCTCAGACCCCGATCCTCACGGCAGAATGTCCAGCACACCTACAATCAGTCTCTGGTGGGAGGCTGCAAAGAAAACGTGACCTCGAGAGAATGCTAACAGATTCAGGTTCTGAAAACAGGGACGGACCGACCCCTCCTAGAAGACTGAGTGCCCAAAGCACAACAAACAGAAAGCAGAACAAACAGCCACCTCTGTCTCCAACGAGGCAGGGGGGAGAGCACCTGGTGGTCTTTAGGGCCTCCCCCACATGCCAGGTTATGATTCAGTCTCTGAGAGCCTTTCTGAGAGGCCACGTGTCTTCCGAGGGGCTACACATCAGTAATAGTAACAGTCCGTGAGTGAAAAGCAGGGCCCTAGGGGATGGGAGGAAAATCAAGAAAATGTAGATGGGAAACAGGCCAAATGCTCAGGCCACCAGCTTGCCATCTAGTGACCCGAGGCAGTGCCTGGCACTGTCTTCCCAAGCTCCACACCCCACCTGCCCTCAGGGCCCCAGGGTGGACATGCTTCACACCTCCACCCCCAGAGCAGACTGCAGCACACAACAGCTCGAATGCCAGACAGGTTCTGGGTGTGTATTTTTATGCTAGACACTCTATAATGAGCTCATTTAAGCAAGAGCAATACATGAGCTATTTCAAAGGGAAGGTCCCCAGCGTCACGGGTCCACTTAACCCAGAACTGCCGCATCCTGGACTCCCCCAGTACAGGTCGGGTCTAGGCGGGGGTGGGTGGAACAGGGGAAGAGTGGGGAGCGCACTCAAGAGCATTCACCTAGGAGATGGGGGCATTCCCTGGGAGCCCAGTCAGTTTGAGAACCTTCCCAATACCTGCACTGTCACAGAGGAGATATCAGGAAATAAAGGCACAGCAAATCCTCAAGTGTTCCCACATCACACTGGAGCTGCTCAACATGTGGCATCCCTGTCTGATCTTGTGCCCCAGGATTCCAGAACTGGGCAGGATTCAGGTGTGGAGGCTGGAGGGTAAAGGGCTCCAGAGGGGCCCTCCACGGAGCAATGACAAGCCAGTCCCCCTGCTGAGAGAACTTACTGGTCTGCCTGCATGCTGCCATGAAAGGGATGACACAGGAGTGCCCACACATTTAACCCCATGTCACCTGGGTTTAAGACTTCACTCTGCTCAATACACAGTTGAGTTCTTGGCCATTCGGAGACACTCCTTTCCTCTCTTTTCCCTCATCCCTGTCAATCT